GCGTGGTTTGCGTCCCTACTACCACAGTCCCTCCAACAGTCTTGAGGTATCCCAAGTTGTTTACTCTTCAAATAAGGAGTGATGAAAAACCTCATAAACCAATTAAATTCTCTCCACTGTTGGGAGTTGGTGGAGGTCTGGAGTAGGCAACATGCTTGATACCATTCCTCCTCCGTGAGGATGACCTTTAATTCACATTCCCGTTTTGCTTTTACATAGAGTGTAGTGTTTTTCAAGTTCTCCATCAGACTCCGACACAATCAGTTTAGACACAATCTTATTTCGTCTTTTGTTGATAAGCCCCACACATTATTTCAATAAGAGGGTTTACCACGTCAGAAGAAAACCCCTTAATTTCTTTGCAGTAGTAATCTCTCAGCTGTAAGTATCTGAATAGATCCTGGTTATTTAGATCAAAACTATCCTTTAGCTCCTGAAAACTCTTCATCTTGTTGTTTTTGATAACTATGCAAAGAGCTGTCAGGCCCTTATTCATCCAATCTTTAAAAGTACTGTCATAAATAGCCGGCTTAAATCTGTTATCCAGTGCAATCCATCTCAGTATTTTTTTTATCTTTTTTAAGTTTCAATAGCTTAATCAGAGAGAACCATATCCCAAGGGAAAATATAACTATAGGATTCAGACCCTTCCTTAGAGTGTCATCTAGGCCTTCCTCTCCCAACAGGGTTTGAACATTATAATCTGGTACATAAGTCTCAATATCTTTCCATCGTGCAATATAAGAGTTATCACACCAAAGGCACAAAGGTCGTAGTTGTGCAGCTTGAAAGTACAGTTTTTAAGTTTGGCAGAGCCATTCCTCCTTTCTCTTTTGGCAGATGCAAAATAGAGAGACATATTCTGGGGCGTTTTCCTCCCCATATGAACCTTGAAACCATTTTGTCCCATTGTGCAAATTGTTGAAGTGGTATTTCCACTGGTAGCGACTGGAACAGATACAGGAGCCTTGGCAGAATATTCATTTTTATTACATTTATTCTGCTACTAAAATCTAGCGGGTGGGTCGACCACCTCTCCAAATCTTCTTTTTTTTAATGTTATTTATTGGGTTATAGTTTGCTTGTATAGCAGCTCAGGGTTTTTTGTTATGACTATACCTAAATATTTCAGTGTTTTTGTTTTCCAATTTACATTTAATTTATTTTTAATTTCTTCTCCTGGAGAGTAATTAAAGTAAATAATTTGAGTTTTTGTGATATTTAGTTTATAACCAGAGCAAACATGAAACTGTTCAATTACCTCCAAAAGTTTAGGGAGAGAGGTATCCAAATCCTGAAAGTATAGCATAACATCGTCAGCAAATAGTCCAATTTTGTGCTCCATTTGTCCCATAGTGATACCCTTTAATCCCTCCTCTTGTCTAATGGCCTGTGCCAGTGGTTCAATATACAGAGCAAAGAGGATGGGGCTTAAACAACAACCTTACCTCGTAGAAACGCTCTATTAGAGACACATTCACTTTGATTCTGGCGGTAGGCTGTTGGTAAATTGCCCTAATAATATTTATTGAATCTTGATTAAATCCAAATCTTTCCAGCGTCTGGTATAGGAATTCCCACCCCACCCTATTGAATGCCTTTTCAGCATCCAGGCTTATAAGAGCTGCACTCGATTTTTCTCTTAATTTTTCCCAGTATGTGTAAAGTTCTTCTAATATTATCCTGTGTTTGTCTACCTGGAATGAACCCACTTTGGTCCTCATTAATCAATTCTGTAACAAATGATTCCAGTCTTTTAGCAATAATTGAAGTATACAATTTATAGTCCCCATTCAAAATGGAAATGGGTTGGTAATTAACACAATCATCTCTATCTTTCCCCTCCCTGGGAATCAAAGACACAATGGCCTCTTTCCAAGATGGAGGTATGCGACCTTCCTTTATCGTCCAGTTGAAAGATCTTAATATAATTGGGTTCAGTTTGTCACGAAATTTTCTGTACCACTCCACAGGAAACCCATCTCCACCCGGAGTTTTATTATGGCGCTTTTCCATTACCAGTACCAGCTCGACTCGACTCGACTCGACTCGCCTTGGCTCGCCTCGACTCGGCTCGCTTTTCGCTCCGTTTTCCATTGCAGAAAGTACCGCCACAAATAGTACCCGGTCGTCATAGCGACACATTTCGTTTCCCCATCAAGCTCTCGCTGGATCCTCTCTTCGGCAACCAAACAAAGGAATGTCTGCACCTCCTCGTTTGACCACGGCGTATTCTTCCGAGTTGCCATAATAATAGTAGTAAGTTTAGTAACTATCTCTGGCCAAACTATTTAAAAATGGCGGGGTTATTGGTTATTCTGGATACTCCATCTGGCGCGTGCAATGATGACGCAGATTCTCTGTGACCAATCAGCAGTCGGCATTGTTTTCACGTCACATTTTAGTATCGGCTTAGCTCGCTTTAGTCTTCATTTTTCCCAGCGTCTTATTGAACTCTTCTAGTGTAATCTCTTTGGTGATTGTTTTGTTCTGTATCTCCCCAATGCTAGGTAAATCTAATGAATATAGGAAATCCCTTATGTACTGCTTGTTCACGGTCTCTTCTTGTGAATAGAGTTTTTGATAGTATTCTCTAAAAATCTTTTCAATCTCCTCAGGCTTAGTTTCAATTTTCTGGGTTTTTAATTTTGTGAGTTGCAGTATCCGTTTGTTGTTTCCGCAATCTACGAGCAAGTAACTTTGCTTGACGTTTCTTGCCTTTTTCTCTACTTCTTGATTAAGTAAATCTTCTATTTTGTTTTTACTTCAGTTATCTGTTTTTGTGTATTTAATTCTCTTTTACGCTTACATTTATTTTCTAACTCTTTCAAAAGTATTCATCAATTTTTCATACTTCTCTTTTCTTACTCTCTTAAGTTGTGCAGTTATAGCTATTAGCTTTCCCTGTAGCACAGCCTTCAATGCATCCCAGAGAATTAAAGGATCAGACTTTCTTCATTTTTAGGGTGAACTGTTTCTCTAATAAGACTTCTGTTTGTCTTTCTTTTCTCAGATGGATTCAAGTTGTGTTCTGTCATGTGGTGTGAACCCTGAGAAAGTTTACTATGTGCTGAACCCAGATGGAAACCTACCTGACACTGAGAATCGCTTTAAAGAATGGTTTACTGGGTAAGTGTACAAAATATGCACCCTGACAGCCACAGGTGTGTAACTGGTCCCATTTCCAATCTGGCATCTCTGTCTGTTATTGACCAGTGAGCGGGTGTGGCAGGGGGTTTGTGGAACTGCTCCTGATCCAGATAAACTACATGAGGCTGTGACCACCAAAGACCTCTACATGTAAGTGAAACTGCAAAGAGTTATTTACTATAGAGTAAATGATGAAATATAAAGATGACACGACATGTGCTTGACAGTAAGTATGTGTACTTCTCTATAGTTACATAGGACATGGTGCAGGTGCCCGTTTTCTGGATGCTCAGAGGGTTTTGAAAGGGCCTGTGCGGACAGTAGCTCTTCTGTTTGGCTGCAGTAGTGCTGCTCTCAGTGTTCTTGGCCATCAGGAGGGAACAGGGATCATCCTCAGCTACCTGACCGCAGGATGGTAATGTACACATCTATCATGTATACAAATATTTTGTGTAGTTACTAATGATTTGCTTTATTATTAAATGTTTGCTTTATTATTAAATGTTTATTTTGTCTCTTCACCAGCCCGTTAGTGCTCGGTAACCTGTGGGATGTGACAGATCGTGATTTAGATCGTTTCACGTCGGCTCTTCTCCAGTCCTGGCTCTCTTCTGGGTCTGGCTCCTCCCTTCTTCAGCATTTAGCCCAATCACGTAATGCCACACATTTAAAACATATAATTGGTGCTGCGCCCATTGCATATGGTTTGCCTGTGCATATTCACTAGCCCAGAATTGAAATTTTAACTTTTATTATTCACAGCTAATATAGTGATTTTTTAAAAAGAAAATGTATAAATGCCACCATCTTTTATTTAAGGTCAAAAATAATCTCAGGGCTAGTTAACAATGCAAAGAATGAGATCTGCCTTAATGAGAATGAATCTAGGACTAAATCTAACCTATGCCTAGGTGCTTGAAGTGTTTTGCCATTTTAAAGTCCTCCCATATGTTTTCTTCCATGTTATTTTGTGGTTGCAATTGCTGATTTAGTTTGCTCATACCTCAATATGTTTTACTACTCTTTTGCTAAGTCTTTTAAGTCAAACATTTTACTGATGTACAAGTTTTATCTTTTACATTTTTGTATAATTAACATTTTTATTTTCTGTTTAAGTTATATCAAATGACAAGCTTCTTTAAAATAAAATGATTTTAAAATGTATTCTTTAACAATGGTGGTTATTTCAACTTCATACTGTGTAGCGGGGAATGAGGCAATTGCATGTAAAAATTAAAGAGTACAAATGGTGGAAAAACAACATGAATAGGACAAGTGTCAAACTGGATGGATAAACTGACAGGCTGTTCCAGTGGCAAGGACCATAAACACTGAAGGTTGTGTCCCCATTACTCTTCAGAATGTCAAGGGCAGCGGCAGAGGACATGGGGGATCTCATCTCCATGTTCCTCAGATATGTATCTGATATGTGTGCAGGGGCAGGCTCAATGATCGTTCTGACAAAAGTGAAATGTTTAATTAAACCCAACAATAAGAATTTTTAAACTGGTTTTATCTTTTTCCATGATAGATTTAGGCATCTTTGATTTATCGCTCATTCCATTTTGGGCTTCCATTAATCAAATGTTCAAGACCCACCATCAGTTTTTTATGTTGGAAAACTTACTTTGAATTTTGTCAAAATACCATATGCATAAAAGTAAAAAAGTTGTTGCATTGTATGGTGTTACAAAATGAGATAAAAAAAAGCCATTAAGGAATATTTGTAAGCCTTACAAAATATTTAAATTATGTACTTTTTTGAATTATGCTTGTCTATTGATTTTTATTAAGAGTTAAAAAAAATGTATCGAAATGCAAAATCATTGCTAAAAGTCCTTCCAGTTGTTTCCGGTTGACCCGGAAGCTTTCCTCCCCTATTCAATTGTCAACATGGCGGTGAATCTGACTGAATTGTCTCTTCCACAATTAGAAGGCTTGAAAACTCAGCTTGATCAGGTAATTTGTGCTATAAATATAATTCTTTGATTTCAGATCCCTAAATTGCAGCTTACGATGGTATTTTTCTGCCAGTGGTTTACTGACATGCACGCAGCGGTTGTCATGCTGTCTGTGCGCGTGCTGCTGGTAGTGCTGTCTTTAATTCGCCATTAAACGGATACTTAAGGCAAAATTGAGTATTCTGTAATTATTTACCAACCTTCTTATTCTTTAAAGTCATTTTAGAGCATAAAAGGAGATGCAGAATGACAGCCTCGCTCACCATTCATTGGATAGAATGAAAGTGAAGGGTGTCAAAACATAAATTGACATTTTTATTTTTGTCTGCACTATTTCTTTTTAGAATTATTTTAACGAGTTAATGAGCAAAATGATTTTTTTTAACCTCTATTTTTAGGATATAGAGCCTAATGTTAACAAATGAAACGACAAACATTTGTTTTCTAGGAAACAGAGTTCCTTTCATCATCTATAGGCCAGTTAAAAGTCGTCCAAACTAAATATGTGGAAGCCAAAGACAGTCTGAATGTCCTTAACAAAAGCAATGAAGGTGAGTATTACGGCTAAACTTTATATGATGCTTCTTTACTATAAATAGTTATTCTGTTCACTGGCTTCTTTTTGCTATTACTTTTTTCTTTCAGGAAAAGAACTACTTGTCCCTCTCACCAGTTCTGTATCCTCCCAACAGCTGAGTGATAAATTAGTGCTGATTGATTTTTTTTGACCCTCAACAAAGTCACATGGGCAGTTTGGTGTTTATTAATTAATTTGTATCCACCTCAGATAAGTTGTTTCCCTTAACTACTGCATTGCAGATGTACGTGCCTGGGAAGCTTAATGACGTGAATCATGTCTTAGTGGATGTCGGAACAGGTTATTTCGTGGAGAAGGTGAGCCAGGATTTTGCTGATCTGTTTAATAATTTGTACTTTTAAGTAAATCAAAGTCTAAGTAAATCTCACTGCTTTTTTTTTTTTTTATCTTTTCAGAATGTAGAAGATGGCAAGGAGTTCTTTAAACGCAAAATTGACTTCCTTACAAAACAAATTGAGAAAATTCAGCCTGCCCTTCAAGAAAAACATGCTATGAAACAAGGTGATTTTTTTTTACACACACACACACACACACACACACACACACACACACACACACACACACACACACACACACACACACACACACACACACACACACACACACACACACACACACACACACACACACATATATATATATATATATATATATATATATATATAGTAGTCAACATTTAAAGTGGATCAAAACCTTTCATCAAAGTTTTACATGAATTTTGAACAATACCCGTTCTTGTCTTAGGACAACTTGGATGAACTTTTTTGATCCACTTCAAATGTTGACTACAGTATATATATTTATATATATATATAATATATTTACTATTTCCAAGTCAAGTTACTGCAAATCACATAGTTATCTAGAGAGAATACTGGTATTCTGGTAATTATAGTTTCAGAGCTGCCAACTCTCACGCATTGGCCGTGAGACACCCGCATTTGATTGGTTTCACACACTCACACGCCACACCCCCGATTTCTCACGCTGAAGTGTCAACCCGGTCGGTCAAATGCTCGTGATTGACTAGTTATTCCGCAAATTAGTTAAAATCTCCTGGAATCTAAAGCGAGCGAGAGACCTTGCGTGTGCAGCGAGCATCCTGTTGTCATGTAATAAGTAGGATAATGTACAGTCTTACAGTTTACCTTTATTACCTATAAACCCCTTCAGAATCATACAAGACCCCTGATCAACCTGTTGCATACTGTCAGGTTTTCTGATAATGATAGGAAAACCTGCACAAAATCATAAATGCATTAAATACGTTTCATCTGCCTCCTAACAGCTGTGGTGGAAGTCATGAATATGAAGCTTCAGCAACTGCACAGCCAACAGGCATCACAGTCTGGCACCACCAAAGCCTAAAACCGGTTACTAGAAGCATGGCAGAAAATCCAGGGGAGATCCTGAGCATTGACCTGTCAGACGGATCCATTCTGAACCCTTGAAACAGAGAACCACTGCTCTGATGTCAACATGTTCACATCTCCTTGGGGGAGAATGAAGTCCAGCACTTTGCCTGCATTAAACAACTAAAAAAAAAAAATTCTGTTCTGTTTTCATTCTCATGTTTAGTGAACAAATGAAGTGTTTGGCATGGTCTGTGGCTGTATTTGCAAACGCCTTCCAAGACTGGGATTAATGTCTTTGGAGGAGATTTACTTTGTTGCTAACACTTTGCATGGATTTTTTTTAATACAGCAAATATTTACTTCTGAAATAAATCGGCTAGTTCTTGCTTGGCTAAAAATGAATTTATTGAAATTTACAAACAAAACAATGGCTTGATTTGTTGTCCCATGCAGGCAGATGAGTTACTGGGCCATGTTACAGACAGCAGCAACTTTATGACTACTGTAACATATTGTGTACAATTTTCCACCCATGCTGAAACAAATAATAAAAATTGACACTTAAAACCTGACATGTATCTGCCTTTTTATGTCTGTCTGTCTATCGATCTATCTGTCTAATTACATGAAGGATTGACTTTAATTGTCATTAGTTTGAATGCGAAGGCTGCGGTAATTATCTGTGTATTATTCGCTGTGTCATGGTTCAGTTGCCCGGCTGCAGAGTTTCGCTGCGCGTCTGTCTCTGTCGTCGTTATGCGGCGAGAGCGCCTGCTGGTTGCTATGCGGCGCGCCGCGTGTTGAGCTCTGTTGCCAGGGAAGAGCAAGCGCGATGGAGGGGGTGGTCGCATTGTCTGTCGGGACGGTGGCGGTGTGTGAATTTTTGCCGTCTGCCAGGAACGCTCGCTGATCCCCATTAAGGCTCAGATTTAGGATATGAAGTACACCCATACTCTAGATAGATTCGCATGCGTTAGTGTAAGCGCAGCTCCCTTTCCCATCTTTGTTTAGTTTCTGTAACGGTAAGACAAACCGACCCTAACTAACGTTAGCTAACCTAGAGCAAGTGCTTGTTGCATTCAGCCGGTGAGAGGAGGCGCTTGATCGCGGATCGGGGTCGCGAGTGGCCGGCCGGTGCAGAGCCGAGGGCGGCCGATGACTTCGGAGAGTAGCAGCCAAGCACAACAGAAGGAGGTCGTCGAGCCAGGATCAGTCGCCCGAGATCAAGAGGAGAAAACCGGCGAGGAGCACGGCGGCATGGTGAGCTCAGGCCTGTGGTGCTGAATCTGCACAACCCACTTAACCTTCCGCGAAACACGACGTTACTGTGTGTTAACTTTTCGCTTAGTGTAGCACTTCCATATTTAGAACAAACGTGTTTAGACCACATGTGTTTTTTTTTTAACTGTTAAGCATCAGTACTTGCAATATGCTGACAAACTACCTGTGTTTTTGCGCGCTACCCAGATTGTCAGTTCGTTACGTTTTATCGATCCACTGAAATTGTTGAGCTTAATAACTGCTTAGTTTAGTATTAGCTGCGCCTGGCTAGCCGGCTTTAAGTCGGACACCGGTAAACGACATTACTAGACAACATAAACTAAATATATTGACGCCGATGCTTCGTCTGCGCATAAATGACACAGCACGTGTTCAGCGGAGCGCTCTAACGTTACTGTAAATGAGCAATGTTTGCATGACTCGAGGACGCGTGACTCAAGCTAAGGTTTATTATACGTTCCCTAATACAAGCGGGTTAACTCTTTTGGAAATGACCACCTGACAGCTTGCTTTAAGTTACAATTAAGTACTTTTCGAGATTTTTTTTTCTAGTTTGAGAATAATTCAAATCTAGTGTAATAATGCTGGGTACAATTGTCAAAAACAATTAATTTTAATAATTTATATGTAGTAAAATTATTTAAATAATTGAAACTGAATTATTCCAATTAAATGTATTAAATGGTTCTCATTTAACCAAGGTTGACGATATTCTAGTCTAAAAAATCAAGATGCATGACTGTTTTTCCACTTAGTTAAAAATCAAACAAATGCTACTAATGTACTTTAAACAGGGTTTAATTTCTAACTGTGACACCACTGTGATTACAGGTACATTATACATTTACCAGGCACATATTGCTGTTAGTGATTTGCCCGGATTCTTGTATCATGCCTGTGTGTGTTAGTTTTTTGTTGAACAGAGACTTGAGGTGCTTAGTCACTGCAATGAATGTTTTAACATGGTGAGGAAGGTCAACTTTAAAGGGGTCAATGTCATATGATCCTTTTTAATGTTTTCCTTTTCCTTTGGTGTGTAATGTATCTGTTTGTACATGCATACAATCTGCAAAGTTACTAAGCTCAGTTTCCCACAAAGGGATTTATTCTGTCACCTGCCTAAAATGCATCGACCAAAGTCCAGACTTATTACTTTCTCAAAAGTCTACGTCACATTGTGAAACATTTGCATAATTCCCGCCAAAGGCATACGCAAAGAGAGAAGACGGGGCTTCGGTGAATTGTAGTGTTGTCGTCATGTCGCTGAGACACGGTATGTTTGGAGTAGTGATGGGCGATACTGCAAATTTCTGTATCGATCCGATACCAAGTAAATACAGGGCCAGTATCGCCGATATCGATACCAATACCGATACTTTTTCATTTTAAAAGCATGCATTTGAACTTGTATGCACTTTCCTGTGTGTCATGATTTATGAGGTGAATGCATCATTAATATGCTAAATCTGAACACTTTTTCATGACTACTAGGCCTAAATATTTTGTGATTTGTGCTCTCAACTCCCCTTTAATAGTCAGTGACTTTTACAAAACTACCCTAATTATAGTACTAGCCTACTGTTCAAAAGTTTGGGGTCTGTAAGATTTATATTTCTCTTAGTAAAAACTGTAATATTACAATTTAACAATTTAACATAGGCTATCTGTTTTCTATGCCATAGTAAACTGTAATTTATTCATGTGATCAAAGCTGAATTTTCGGCATCATTACTCCAGTCATGATGATAATTCATTTTAATATGCTGATTTGCTGCTCAGGATACATTTCTTATTATTATCAATGTTGAAAACAGTTTCATATTTTGTTGGAAACCATGATACATTTTATGCAGAATTATTTGATGAACAAAGTTGAAAGAACAGCATTTATATGAAGTAGTTTTTTTTCAACAGTGTAAAACCCTTGACTGTCACTTTTGATCAATTTAATGCATCGATCCTTGTTGAATAAAAATATTAATTTCATAAAAAAGATCTTACTGACGTCAACATTTTAAACCGTTATGTACAGTTTTGGTTTGTTTATTGCGAAATAACTCCCGATTGTTTCTCTGTCATCTAAGCAAGGCTTCGTTCCCAAACGCGCTGGGCCTATGAGCTCAGCGAGGCACCAGCATCGAACGCTCTCTGTGATTGATTGGTTTCGTCTTGTATACAGATGACTAGGAGAAAAGGTTCTATCCTACACACCCGCTAACATTCGCTTATTTTTCCACTTAGAAGCTTATTTTACGCACTGAATTGCGTGCTAAATTAATAAAAAATTACTGGTAAAAAAAATACACATTTGGATCGATATTTTTATGTGAGGATCGATCCTTTTCGATACCACGTCAGTATCGAAGTATCGATACTTCAGGATCGATCCGCCCATCACTAGTTTGGAGGCGAAAGCAAAAACATAAACGGTTTTATACAAAGACTAATTAATTAGCACTGTGAAACGTTCTGCTCAAGTCGTGCTTGAATACTATGAATAGAGGAGCTGCAATAATGTACATTATGTGAAAATTTTGTTTTTTTAACAATAAAGCATGTTAACCTTATCTTTTAACCCAAATTGAACAAAATAATGAACACCAGGGATAGCGTTTAATGTTAATACTGTGGTGCTGAATGATTACCATATTCATGTACCATGGTATTAACATAGTATCTCAAAGAATATCATTGTACTACTATGTTTTTAATGACAGATATGGACTTGCACCAAAATGAAGCTCACATATTCATGTTTTGATTCCGGTTTCTGGCCTAGATTTGCCGTCTCTTCTGCTCTCTCTCTCTCTCTAAAATTATGCAGACATCAGTCTAACCTGTGAGAATCCTTTTAAAGGAGTGGTTCTCTATAATTTTGACTGCAAGGCCCCTAATTCTCCACAACAATATTTGAAGGTCCCATGACATTTCCAGTTATTTATGAGTTAATGGGTAAAGGATTAAGAAATAAGGATTTAAAAAAAAAAAATTTGTACTCAACATTTCTACCTCATAAAATATTTCAACTCGGCATAACACGAAAAATTTATATTCATAAAGAATGGCCATGGAGTTTTATTAATTTATGAATTTACATAACCTATTATTTTGAGGTTTGTAAAGACAGTTATTGTGGGGGTGAATTAAGGAATAATTGGCAACAGGCCATTCAATTATTAGAAAATAATGCACACCCGAGGTGGTAATGTGGCCACGACTTGAAGCAGAGTATTCAGCTTATATGGTGACCACACCTCCAAATATTGTTCAGTAGTAGCTAGCATTGGATGCTTGAGCCATTGATAGTAGACATTTATTAATGCAGTTGGTAGAGAGAGAGAGAGAGAGAGATTAAGCGTGTGTGAATTACCTGAGTCTGTGCGTCTTTCAAAAGTGTTTGGCAGCAGTGTCTCTACTAATAGAGAAACTGTAAGTTTATCTGCTTCAAGAACAGCGACGTTACCTTGCTAGTGAGAAATGTCATGTAGCTTTTAAGTTGTCAGACTATTTTACTGATAAAAACATGACAGAGCAGCGCTGACAACATGTTTCTGTGCGAGTGTGTGTCTGTACTGTGTGTGTTTGAGTGGGAGAGAGAGCGGGAGAAAGAGAGTCTGTGCTTTCCGTACATAATAAAAATTAACTTTGTGGGGGAAAAAACATGGAAATAATTTGTCATTTTATCCTATTGTTTACTATATTTATTTGTTTGGTCAGTGTCGTTGTGGGTTTTGGTACTTTTGCTGTTGTAGGCTGTAAGGACCTTTGAAATAACTGAAATCATTTGGTGAAGTGATAATGTGGTCAAGACCTGGAACTACTTTAGCTGGCCGTTTCCCTGAAAATACACTATATATTGCACTGCACACCTTAGAACGTTCGTCAACCAATAAGATTCAAACTTTCAACAGCCTAGTAGTAGGCCTATAAAATCAGAAATATCTTGGTTTTTAGTTGTTTAAGCTAATTTTAATGCCAGTTTTGTCTCATTTTAAGTAATTGTAATAATTTTGAGCCCCTTGTGGGTCCCAGCCCACTGGGAACCACTTTTTTTTTCTGTATGGATACAGGATAAAATTCGATTTATTTTGGCTTCTGACAAGCTAGTATAGATAAAGATGTCCGGAATTAGAGTTTCAGCAATAGAAATATAATTTGCAGGGAAATTTAAATAATAAATTAATAAACTAAGTATTGTACACGTTTAATATTGTTTTGAACAAAATGGCATACTTGATTGAATTTTGTGTCTGACTTGCCATCAAAACACATTTTTATTAGACAGTTCTGAAAGACTTTTTATAGGGCTCTCACATTTTTTTCCAAGTCTCGGTTTTCTGCAGTTTCTTTGAACAGTGGGTAAATGCAGTGAGATCCACCCACCAGATTGTCCATTGTCTGAATTAGGCGCTCCTAGTACTATTCGATGCCTCGTGACATTACGATATTAGACACTGTTATATTATATTATAGTAATACACACATTTGATCATTAAAAGCCATTTTATTGCTTCCAAATGTAGTGTTATTTGTAAATTGTTCATATTTGACTACATTCATTCATTATTTTTTGGTCAAACCTGTACAGCATTTGTCTCAGCTGTCGCCACGTGCTCGGCAGTGATCTTGATGGCAGAGGTTACAGTTCCGGTAACTTGAACATACATTTGACAGACGAAAGCCCACTCCAATCACAGGGAGATTCCATATGACGTATTTCACCATGCACCAATCCCGTAATGGTGGGCGGGAGATTTTCAAAATGTGCTTCTGCATGTGATCACAAAGGAGGCGAAGGAAAGACGAGTGCACGGCCAATCAGACTCGTCTAGCGCCGTGCCAATGCTTACGCAGAGCTAAGGGGATTGATGCAGATAGTGGCCGCGAAACTCTTTGGCAGTGAACTTGCACTTTTGCTTTAAACGGAAATAAGTGGAATACGCTGCTGCGTTATTGTAAGCTAAATTAATTCGCCTACAAGGTATCTAGCGAGGGATAACGTTGTCGGGGGAGAAGACCATGCTGTTGTTTGTGGAGGTGAGTTAAAGAGGTCATTTTGGCGACCGCGAAGGTTTTTCACAGCTGCGGCATGGTTTCAGCTCGATGGCGCCTGCCATGAGTTCAACAAGAAGACATTTTTTGTGGTTTTGTAGTGCTGCTACAGTTATTATTGTTTGTTCCTGGTTTTACATCGATTAGTTAGCGATAAGCAATGTTAGTTGAGCTAACGTTACTATGTAATACCTTGTTTATGTGGATGCGAACTGATCGTCGGTTGCGAAAGATCCACGTGCGTGCAACAAATGCTAGCTATTTAGCCAGCCTCTTTTATTAGCGTAAGGTGCGTAACTTTTATTGGTAAAATTCACAACTAGTAATGACACATCAAAAACTGAAGGTATCCACGAATCGCATTGACTTTTAATTTAACCTCTCGTTCAAAAATAACTTTAGCCCGTTCAAATCCAATAAAGCACTAACGTTAGTCAGGTTAACCAGGCTGCGTTACAGATGCAGGTTTGTAAGTTAGCTCTTTGCCCTGAACTCTCGCTCTGGTTTATCGGAGTGGCTAATCAGATTAAACGGGTGAAAGGCCAACTATTTAAAACCTATCTGTGTGTATGGAGTGTCGCGTCGGGTAAGTAATATATCTTGTGGATGATCATGTTCAACCCTGATCGGGCGCAGTAACGTTATAGAGAAGTTGGAGGGAGAAGTTGTGCACAGTTGTGGTTTTCAAACTCGCGGAGTGTGTTAATAGTTGGGGCCCTTGCCTGTCCTGTGGTGTTTGTTTTCCTTCGGCGTGCTCTTCAGACGTCCTTCATCAAATAATACACAATTTCATTTGAGAGAGCAGTTATATTCTATATAGTTCAAAATTGAGACTTTACAGCAAAGTTTGAAGCAGCGTTGTAATTTGTTCCTCGGCGTGTCATGTGAAACTTTGATAGCGTCGTATCTGTTAACCCTTAAAAGACCCAAGCACTGACATTGCATTTTCATTTCTCCCTATTGAAAGTGATATTAAAAATCGTTATTTTAATCATATTTTGTATGTTTAGGGGAACTTTGCAAAATTGCAATGCTGTGATTTCAGGGCTGAAAAGTTCACCCCTGTTATAATGATGTATGCAATTACTTTCTTGAAGTCTTCAAAGGGTGTGTGTGTGTCAGATCAAACCGCTTACACAGTTTATAGTTTCAAGATCTGGGATATCTCTTCATCTCACTGACCAGTGACCACCTGAATGCCTACAGTGAAGTTGCTTTGGCCTTTGAATTAAAGCCTTTCCATAAAGCAAGAATGCAAAAGATTCACTGTTAAGTTACATTTAAGCTGTCAAAAAAGCATTTAGAATGTGTTATCTCTAGAGTAGACCACTGAATGGTCTCCATTATCCAAATAATGCAAATTGACCTTTGTAGCCCACTTTTTTTTTGTGCTTAGAAAATGTCTATTTTTTGCAAGTTGATATTGTATTTAGTCTTTTCTTTATCACTTAAGAAGCTGGGAATTGAGATATGCAGTCAAGTACTAGTACACTTACCAGTTCTAATGCTTATTTTTGGCAGAAGTCCTTGATGCCTTAAATGTTGCTTTGAAATTAATTGAATTCATTTTCCAGGATTGTTTCCTGCTCTTTTTTTGTGTGGTCTCACTACATGTTCTGCCAGTTCATTCAACAGTTACTCCACATTAACTTTGATTAGGTTGTGCCATGATAGATGGCTGTCAGTTTTAGGCTATGATAATGTGTAGTTAAATGACCAGTAATGTTGTAGTTCAGTCTCAATTCTGTTTACTGAATCTACAGTTGGAAATTGTTGACCGATTTCTTCTGGTTTTATTCTACTGTGATCTGAAAATTGGATTTATTTATTTTTTAACCTTGTCTTCAAGGTGACCACCAAGGGGGCCGGTCTGAATCCCAATGCTAAAGTGTGGCAGGAAGTGTCTGCACCAACCACCCAGGCTCCGGAGGCAGCCACAGAGACGTGCCATTGGCCACAAGGAGAAACTGTCTCTACTGAGGAGTCAGAGGGTACGTATATTGATTGGCAGTTGTTTAGTGCTGCAAGTAATTTGTAAAAATGCACTTCATGCTATCTTCTCAAATTTTTCACCTGGAAATGAAAATTGTCAACCCCTATTCTTTGTTTTATGTAGGAAACAAAAGGATTTTTATTTCTACATGTCTCATTAAGTTAATATAATTATAACATGTAACATGTTTACTTGGTTTCTTTGCTTAATGACATGCAGGTAAATAAAATATTGTATCTTTTGTAAGTTTTATTTTGATTTGTGTTTATTAGAAAATTATTTATCTTATTTTTTTATGATTTAATTGACTTTTCATAAACTCATGGACACCCTAAAGTTCCCTCTCAAACCTCCAGGGATTTGGGAAGCCCTGCTTTATGAGCATGTTGTTGTGGTTTTTCTCGTTACACGACATGGCTAGATTCTTGCCAGGTGTTGTTTTGAGACGAATGGAATTATTCTGCGGGGGATTCATATGCGATAGCAACTAAGATCATTTCAGACATGTTAAATTTTCCTAAAACCCAGTGATGATCTGTATCGCGCTTGGAAGGACCCAGAACTATTCTCACTGTAGAGATCTTTCAACCTAATTTCTCCTCTTACTCCCTCCCTCCATTCTGTTCTTTCTCATTTCTTTCTCTAATTCTCAAACTAAATTTCTTGCTCTTTCTCGCAGTGGATTGGGTCTGCCCTGATGACTGTGAGATTATGAGATCTGAGGGTTGCATGATCTATTGCTGTTCTTGCATGGTAACTGAATGGAAAGGTTTCAAATTTATTTACTACTCCTCTCATTCCTCTTCTGAAGGTTTCAAGGAGTATGTTGTTGGCTATGGTGACTCTGAGTCAGCCCCTCCTATGGAGAGCAGCATGTTGAATGGCATTGAGTCAGCAGAACTGGCTTACCCACTCTACGAACCAGGTCTGCCACAAACACCCACTGTCACACTTTAATTCCATCCGTGATGCTTAATGGCTGATTGTCATTGTGGACGGTATGTTTTTGTTTTGTTGCTCAGTGGAGGGTGAGACCGTCGAGGAGCAGCCTCCACTGTCCGAAGAGAGTCTAAAGGAGTCGTTGAAGAAGCAGCTAGAATTTTGCTTCTCAAGGTAACACCCACTCTATGCCCAGACATGCTTATACCTGCTCTTCCATATTACATCATTTTTAAAATATTTTTATACTGAAGACCTTCAGGGATGAATGAAAAATTCATAATCACCTGAACAATAAAGCAATGCTTATTCTACTCTTGCTTGAAAAAAGTTCTCATTCAATAATTAAATGCGATGTCGTAATGGATCTATGCCATTGGAAGTGATTTCATGGACAATCTGATTGAAGCCCTTTTATTCAGCAGTATTGTAATTGTTGGTTGTCAAGTACAGTTGTAATCTCTTTATAATTTAATTCGATATGTAAAGAATACATCATCAGACCTGCCAACATGTATGCATTTTGCGTAGCGGGCACGCATTTTGACCAAAGTACGCTGGTACGATTTGTCACTCTAAACTACGCAAAAACCTGAGGACGCCTCTTTGCACGCGCAGTCCAAGAGTTCGATCTATCATAGCGCTGGGTTCATTCCCCAAATTGCAAGCGGAGATGATTGACAGATGCGTAAGTCCTATAATTAAAAAGAGACTGAAAATCGACACCAATGAAGAATCCCGCTCGATCCACTGTCCACTCGCACGCGCCCGCCGTCTGACTGATTTAAGGAGGACAGTCGGCCTACAGTAGTCACGGTACTTCTGACTGCTGAAGGTAAACGGGCTGGGGTGGAAGTGGAAAGTTGAAATATTGTATTTGAGTTAATTTAAAATGGATTGGTTATCACACGGGATGGGAGTGATCCCATGGATTATTTAAAAAATACTCCGTAATTCATTCATGGTAACTCAGATAAGAGGAAGACATTCAGCCATGCAAATTATAAAATGCTCAAGTAATGTTGAACAATAAATCTAAATAAAATTGAAACTATGTCTTAGTGATTATGAAAGTGCTGTGATTTGTGGATGACTGATAACGTTAAGCGCGAATCTGGAGAAACGGTCGTTTATTTTTTCATTCTCAGTGTTGAGAAACGTAGCCTGCATGTGTTACGTTATTATTTTAATAACTAAAGTACCAAATTGTTACATTTATTTTGTATGAAAACTAGCGAGTTAGTTGGCGTACTTATGGATTAAAAATGACCGTTGTATGATATCATGTATCAGTGCTGCGTGAGCTCTCTCACAAACACAGACTCGCGCACACAGAGAGAGAAGATATTTATAAAATAAAAATTGACAGGCAAAGTTCTTGCTTTTTTTTTTTATGTCAAAATGTCAAAGCTTTTTGTATTATCCATTCGTGTTTTTAAAATTCGTTAAATGACGGACGCTTTACTGTTAACAGCCCTCATATGTCTGATTCGTCTTATTCGAACACTTATATTATTGGTCATGTGACAGGACTCCTGTCTATTCATTGTTAACTGTTTTCTATAAATATGTTTGGATTGGCTAAAGTTTATTCAACTAATGTGTCCTGTTTATAATGTGTAGCCTAATGTTCAAATGCAAAGACAGCACGTCACAAATATAAGCCCTTTTCCCTGTGGGATTTAATATCATATTTGGATATTGGAATAATAAATTAAGTAGCCAATTTAAAATAAATAACATGTAGACACCTGTTTTTTGGGGGTTTTTTTTGCTGTTATTTAGGGGTTTCTTAATTTTAGACTAATTGACCAGCACAGATTATATCCAATACAATATTACCGGTAATAATGAGGTTAAATTTTGTATTTGTGTCAAATTAAAAAACCTTTAGACGTCAAAACTAGAATTATGAAGATAGGCATGTGTCTGTGTGTGTCTTATATTCTCAAAATATATGACCTTATATATACCATGACCTGAGAAGCCATTTAAATTTATAAGCCATTTAAAAATCAGCTTATAAATGATAAGCTTTTATCGCTTCACGTGGTTGTCTTGTAAACTTCAGGTGAAATTAAACCAGTTATTCAGGGCTTCTTTAGGATCAATTAGTTGACTAGTTGTTCAGGAAACCCACTGACTAGTCTTATTTTAAAAATACAACCAGTCAAAAGAAACACCGTTTGTAAAAATACTTCTACACTCCTGTGGAAAAAACATCTGGTCTTTTTTTCATTTTGCACATGTGAACTTAAAGTGTCTATGTCAGGTTAAATTTTTTTTTTAGATATATTAAATAAGGGTTAGATGTCTGAGTGAAAATGTAATTATCATTAAAATTATTACTGTAATTACCCTACAGTAAGCTTTATAGCCATTTCTGTCAAGATCATATTTTTAAAACACAGCTGAGCTGTGACGTCAGAAGAGGGAGTCGTGCCACAAACGTTCTATTCAAGAATGGGGAGTTTTGACTCTGAGCACTGTGAGCAGATCCAAAATCCCCCTCAAAATCCCCCCACAGCCATACACTTTTGAGCCTCCCAGGCGTGAGACAGATGAGGAGGCAAACAGAAATTTAAATAATTCCTATCGAAGAAACATAAATATCTGGTGTGAAGATAACCAGTGGAGAGTTGGGCAGGTGTATATACCGGTAGGCATAACTTAGAGGTGGAACCATGTATTCGTATTGAACCGAAACGGTACGGGCGTCACGGTTCAGTGCATGAATACACGAGTATAAAAATAAATAAGAATACACGAGTATAAAAATAAATAAAACTCGCGTGCAAATTAATTAATGCGGAACTACTGTTAGATACGCGGGTTATTTAGGGACACATAATCTGTAGCTCCGCCTTAGCTCTGAAGCTCCGTGGCTATAATGAACAGGCTTCGATGTCAAGATTGCAATGCTGGAATATGTTGGTGTTGGTGTGTGTGTGTGTGTGTGAAGCAGCACTGAAGTAGCGAGAGAGAGAGAGAGAGAGACGCGAGAGAGAGAGACGCGAGAGAGAGAGAGAGACAGACACGCGGGCGCGATCGAACAGTGGAAACATAAAAACTGGAAGAAATGTGCGCTGCAAATGACCGAAATCTTGGATACCGAAGCAGCACTGAAGTCCACGCGTTTGGTACGAACAAAGTTGACCCAGGCACGGAACACAGACCTGCTTTTTTGGGGAAAAGTGGACTCTGTGACCGGTTTTAACTGTGTTTTAGCACCCAGCACAAACGCAGTAATTCACCATTGTGAAAATACGCCTGCGTATACCTAACTAACTACCTAACTTAAATAGCTAACTAAATAAATAAATATCCTAATCACTAATTCTCTCGCTCTATCACTCGTACAATTATCAACACAGCTCACAGACTCACTTTCTCAGCGCTCTGGGGAGACGTCTCCCTCTTATGACGTCAAGCGATCCGTTTGGGCGGAGGAGCAGTTTTAAGTGAGTACTGAAAATAACGAACTTTTTCATCTTATATTCTGCCTTTAGGTATCGAAAATCATACAAAACAATACAACAACTTGTCAAATGTGCATTTCCCCTAACTATTTTGTGTTAATCCTAATTACAAATTTAACCTGACATACGCACTTTAAGCAAACATGTCCAGTGGTGTGATAACAGTAATATTTGGAGTAACGGGTTTCTATCAATGGAATATGCAAATCATGCAATGGAAGCTTGTAGTTAGCCAAGCAGACATTTAAAATTCTGTTTTCCCACTATGTACGCTTAATCTGTATTCAAAGGCTTTACCAAGTGAAGCACTTATGTTTTGAGTGCAATGAATATCACTGCAAGTGCTCAACATCTGTTCATTACATTTTTATTTTCCACAGGGAGAATCTCTCCAAAGACCTTTACCTGATATCTCAAATGGACAGTGATCAGTTTGTCCCTATTTGGACCATTGCGAACATGGAGGGGGTCAAACTGCTGACTACTGATATGGACCTTATACTTGAGGTGCTACGAGGTAAAAAAAGAAAAAACTCTGGCCAAAGTTACAGAGTTTGTCGTTCATTCCTTGCATTTAACTGTGTTGTCCTTCTCAGCCTCTCCCATGGTGCAGGTGGATGAGAAGGGCGAGAAAGTACGGCCAAACCACAAGAGATGCATCATCATCCTCAGAGAAGTCCCTGAGACCACACCTGTTGAGGTGAGACCACGCTGTATGTTCATCTCTTGTAGCTGTATATGGTAGAGATTGGTTATTATTACTGTGGTTACCCCGATGATGATCAGTATCGCGCTTGGAAGGATCCAGAACCATTGCTGCTGAGATTTCATTGTCCTCTTGTTTAAATCCTCCTTTATCTGTCCTTATCTTATTTCTCTCTTTCTCTCTCTCTCTCTGTCCTTATTCTTATTTCTCTCTCTCTCTTATTCTTATTTCTCTCTCTCTCAGTACAGTGGATTTTGCCCTAATGACCGTGAGATTATGAGATCTGAGGGATATCTGACCTTCTGTTTCTAAGTAGTTTTCACTTATTATTTTTTAATTTGCTGACTAATGCTTTTGTCTCTCTGTCAGGAGGTGGAGGCACTTTTTAAAAGTGAGAAGTGTCCGCAGGTCATCAGCGTGGAGTTTGCGCACAATAACAACTGGTACATCACATTCCAGTCTGACACTGATGCTCAACAGGTATTATTGACAAACGCATTCACAAACGGCCTTACTCATAGAATAAATGTCTGTATAAATAATTGGTAAATTCTTTCTTACATATGTTGGGTTTTTTTTCAAGATCTGTGCTACCATATTGAGTTAACTCATTTTAATTCAGATCATATGTTGCAAGTAAAAGTTTTTTTTTTTCATGAATGGTCGTGATGCCATTTTCCTGTGATATGGTTCATGGTCATTTAATCTGTAATGTGTAATTTTCTGTTTACTATTATAATGCATGAAATATGGCCATAATGAAATCTAAAAAGCAGTAAAGACTTGGTCTTAACTTTGCATCAAAATGATTATATACATATATTATTAGCTAGCTGCTTGGCTTAAAACTGAAAAGTTATTTTAACAGCCATAATTTGCTGAAATGAAAACCAATATGCACTTTTGCTCTGCTGTTGCATGGATGAGGCCTAACGTGTTTTTGCATTTTGTCTGCTGATTTAATTAATGCAAATGGTCTTTATCTGGCCACATTGTTTCACAGGCTTACAGATACTTGCGTGAGGAAGTCAAAACCTTTCAGGGCAAACCAATTATGGTGAGTGCACATTGTGTTGCTGTCTTATAGTTTGACCAGTCTGATGATTCATGCCAGCATATGCTTGTGTGTTAGTGAATGGATGTGTGAATGTGCACTCAATTTCTGTTCTAGTTCTCAAGGATGCTGTTAATAACAGGACTCTTTGAAATGCTCAACTTTAACCCTTGTTGTGCGAACCAATCAGTGATCAGTTATACTATCATTTAGTGCTGCCGCGATTAGTCGACTTAGTCGACGTAATCGACCATGCAAATTAGTCGACGGCAATTTTTTTTAGTCGACGTGTCGTTTTACTATTGACCGCTATTTATTTTTGGTCTCCCGTCACAAACGGCTCACTGTAATTCACCTCCACACACTGTGCGCCGTGCGCGCCCTGCTGGTTTATCTGCTATAATTTTCCTTCACGTTCCCGCCCGCCTTCACTGCTTTGATATGAAAAATTGCGGAGGCAGGTGACGGAGCTTTCACAGTGGGCTCATTTGCTGCGGTCCGAGTCCGAGCACGAGCGCGATTGTTCCCGGCACCCCCCGCAGCGTTGGTCTGGTTTCACACTCAATTCTATCGAACCCTGTTGAGTTTGCGTGCATCTTATGCCATCGCAAACGTGCACGGCGCATGATAGAAAACAGAACGCGGGTCAATATATTGTGTTTTTCAAACGGACTCTTTTGAGGAGACAGTGGATTTCCAAATGTGTTGCCCTGATTGCACGCGCAATGCGCGAATACACTGCAGACTCAACTCTCGCGTATCCAAGGTAAATCATCAACACTATCATCCCTTACATGTGTTTTATTTAACTAAATGCATCATAATCAGCTAAAACGCATGGGCAGGTTACTTAACTTCCTGAACAAGCGCTCCCGAGTCCGTGTTGCTTTCACATTCACGCGAACCGCGGCACGGGCCCGCCATGCACGCAAGTGTAAACGCGAGCTACATAACTGCGTGCCTGCCTGCTTTCAGCGCGACTCATAGTGGGCTAGTCCAGACTCTTTCAATTCAATTCCAATTTATTTGGATAGCGCTTTTCACAGAAAATGCATTGCATCTACTTTACTATTCAGAGTGATGTTATCAGTTATACTTTTCAAAAATGTACATAAATTAATCATTATTAGCTTACTGTACATTTTTTAAGACAGAACAAAGAGCTAATTTAAGTAATACATACATGTTTGTTATTAGAGGATTAGATTAGTACTCTGACTAATATGGTATAGCCTAATGGAAATGCAGATATTTAATGCTTAGATTGTTAATACATAATGTTTTTGAACAGGTGACATTTTATGTTTTGGCCCTTCAGTTGAGTTCAAAATAAAATGGACACAACGAAATTAACACTTGATTTTTTTTTAATTAGTCGTTTAGATTAGTCGACTAATCGAAAAATTAGTCGAAAGATTAGTCGTTAGAAAATTAGTCGTTAGTGGCAGCACTACTATCATTATGTAACCAATAGGAAAGACCCCTGTAAACAGTGTATGGAATTATGTAACCAACAGCCATATGGAAATATGCTAATACGGGACAGTTTGTCAGTGGTCGTGGGCGGAGCATGAGCATTATGACATCATATTGCTCAGAAAATCTAAACGGCTTGATTGAGTGTTTAGGCTTTTTGAAAAACACAAACTGATGATTTGATCCAGATCTATACTGAGATTTCCAATTTCAGAATCCTTTATCTTTTGAACAACCCATTGTCAAGATTTGATCCAATCCGATTGCCGGAATCCGATCAGATTACTTTTGAACAACGAGCCCTGGTTTTAATGCAGTTCTGTGTTTGTGTGTTTTTGTCATGGTAGGCTCGCATCAAGGCCATTAACACGTTCTTTGCTAAGAACGGTTATGGGGCTGTTGACTCTGGAGTGTACTCCACTCCATCACAGTACTCGTCTCCAGTTTACCTGCAGCAGGTGTACCAGCCTCCGCAGCAGTACCCTCTCTACAGCCTTCTGCCACAGACGTGGACCCCTTCACCCACCCCTTATTTTGAAACGCCACTGGTGAGAACATGAAATATATTTTCTTGAAATATTGTGAAGTGATTTACTGCTGAATTAAGACATTCAAGTGACAATTTCCACATATAAGACTACTAGTGGTGGAACGGATTACAAAATTCACGGTTCGGATCATTTATGGTTTTTGAGCCACGGATCGGATCATTTTTCGGTTCAGATTTTTTTTATATATATATATATATAAACTTTGATTTTCATTTATTACTTAAAGCTCACTTGAAGTTCTTTGATACTACATCAAAAACTACTAGCCTACTAGTGTAAATACTAATTAAAAATATTTAAGATTAATTTGTTTGTTTATTAATTTGTTAATATTTTAGATGGTTTAAAAAAAACAAACATTTGTCATTAAAGACTGCAGGTTCATAAATAATTGATTGATGTTGCCATGGTGCTATATGTTCAGAAACACAAATGTGGCTGTATATGAAGATACAGATGCGGATTTGGTTTTGACCCAGTGATGATAAACTAAGCGCATAGAGGGAATCAGGGAGTGATCAGAATTTGTGGGGAGTTTTCTCTCTCTCTCTCTCTCTCTCTCTCTCTCTCTCTCTCTCTCTCTCTCTCTCTCTCTCTCTCTCTCTCTCTCTCTCTCTCTCTCTCTCTCTCTCTCTCTCTCTCTCTCTCTCTCTCTCTCTCTCTCTCTCTCTCTCTCTCTCTCTCTCTCTCTCTCTCTCTCTCTCTCTCTCTCTCTCTCTCTCTCTCTCTCTCTCTCTCTCTCTCTCTCTCTCTCTCTCTCTCTCTCTCACTCAAAGTTCACTCCTGTCCCAGTGAGCGTAAAGATTATGAGATCTGAGGGTCACTTGTGGAATGATGACTAAATAACTTTTCAATGTCCAAGCTTAGTGGTCGACCGATATGGGTTTTTTGATTGCCGATATCTTAGAGAGCAGGGTGGCCTATGGCCGATATTTATATATATTTTTTATATATATATATACATATACATAAACACACACACACATTAGGGGTGGAATGGTACACAGAAGTCACGGTTCGGTTCATACCTCGGTTCAGACATCACGGTTCGGTACAATGGAGGGAAAAGCAAAACAAAAATGCAGAAGGCATTGTATTTTTTAAATAAGTTTTATTAATAAAGGCATAGAACCCGTTTATTTGTAGTGCACTGACAATAGTTTTATAGAATTCGTTTATTAATTAAATTAATAAAGACAAAAAGACCTTGCGATATGTTTGGTAATTGTACCTGAATTAATTTAAAATTAATTTGCTATATTTCAGATCAATATATTTGTTTTCCTTAATTTTAATTAACAATGTAACATTATTCTCATCTGAATCATATATATATATATTAGGGGTGGGCGATTTTATCGATTCTGCGATATAAATCGATATTTCCCCCCCCCAAGATAGTATCGATATTTAAGCCGCGAGTATCGATATATAAGTCCCATTCAAATCCCCCGTGTTTAACTTGGCTCGTCAAGGGGCCGTTCACATATCGTGTCTTTTGCGTGCTCAAGTTCGTTATTTCAAATGTAGGCGCGCGGCAAGCGCGCTCATAATTGAAGCGACGCGCTCATTTTCTCCAGGCGCAGCGAGATGAAAACACCTCAACTTTTCAGAATGGCGCAAGCGCACCGCAGTTCATGTGATAACCAACCATCAGTTTCACCCTTTCCATAACAACATTAAAAGCTCGGCCAACATGAAGGATGGGGGTGCACCCAAACACTACGGGTGTTTTTCTCTGCTCCGTAAATAAATCTTGTAGCAGAGCAGAGCTACAGCAAGCGTTTTCCGGTGGTGGAAATCCATTTGCTACTAAAACCTCGTTCTTTGTCGTTGTGGAGAGCGCAGTTCATGGTTGCTTAGCAACGACAGACGCCACGGGAAAATCGGACCGAATTTTACTATTAATAATAAAAGATAAGCTAATGTGCATTGTAAATCATGTCAGTAATTTATCTTTTTTGACTCATTCTTTTTATAAAAGGCTGAAATATGTGAGGTTTATCTTTTTATAAAACCTTTTTTCTCAAAACTTTATTTGCACTTTTTAACTCTCCATTGTTAATTGCAGTACTGCACTTAATTTACTTTTCAAAGACTTGCAAGCTACAGTTTGCACTGTTTCAATAAATGGAACTAATTTTCTCAACACATCTTTAATTCATTTTGTCCAGCATTTGCAAGGTGTAGCTCTGTCCAGTCAGAGACATATATTGTGTAATTGATGTTTTTAGTTTTCAGTTCAATTAATTCAATCAAAGTAAATGGAACACTCACAAGATGTCACCAAAATCACTCTGTCCCCTTTAAATCTTTCAGAAAATGATGTAAGTGTATCGAATTATATCGAATCGTATCGTTGGCTGAATATCGTGATATATATCGTATCGTGAGCTGAATATCGTGTATCGTATCGTGAGATTAGTGTATCGCTACAGCCCTAATATATATATATATATATATATATATATACTATATACTATATACTATATACTATATATTTATATTTTAATCAATATCTAATAAATTAGAGAAAAATCTTTAAAATAAACATGCTTAGGCCCTATACTTTAGATGGCAACTTATTGAATCTGCAATCCTATTACAGTATTTTTCACAAAAATGAATAAAGTATAAAATATATGAATATTTGAATAAAAAGGAAGTAAACACTCAGTAATCTGGTAATTTCATGTACACTGATAATCATATTTTTTCAAATAAAGACTTTTTTTTACTTTGACTTTGGACAATGTAACGCGAAGTTTACATAGCACACAGTGAAAACGATATGAATATGACACAGTGGGCAACTGGATATAGCACAGCATATTTTATGTTTTTCGATCGCGTGACGCGTCTCCTGTGATGCTGATCTTCTGTTCGCATTCACTCACTTACACGGACCGTCACTCGCAGTGACACGTTTATGCCAGCTACAAATGCACACTTCACAAGATATCACAGCTGGATTCGATTAAATCTGCAAGGTTTGTGAAATTAAATGTTTATTCGATATTCAGAGATTTGTTTAAATGATGTAGATGCGAATTTGCTGAATCTTGACGGTAAATGAGAAAGTATTTTAGCCTGATTTTGCCTTTTCTGTTACAAATAATATAAAAGCAAACGCATTACTTTTTCGCATACCATTTACTTTCTTTGTTTACCAGTTCTGTAGCCACCAGTTCTGTCTAACAAAGTATTAGATATGACTGACAGAAATCGTAAACTAATGAAGACGGTCAGGCGGAGAATGTGAGAGTGCTGTGTGATCAGGCGCTGCTCTTCTCTTCTCAGGTGCTGGTGTTCTCAGTGCCGCCCGTCAAAATAAATGTCCGCAGCGCCGTCAAAATAAAAGTCCCGCTTCCAACACATCGGCCAATCAGAAAAACGTATCTGCCGATATTTAAAAAAAGCCAAATATCGGCCTTGGCGATATATCGGTCGACCACTGGTCCAAGCATTGTAGCAACACAGTCATTTTTCAACAGATTTGAATGCGACTCATCCACTGAGTTACTCTTTTTGATAGCCTTTTTAGTTAAATTTGTATTGCAGTCATGAAGGTATGAGCTGATGGAGTCTCAGTAGGTCTCTGGGTTTGTAATCAGGTTTGTGATTGCAGGCCGAGCTGCAGGGGAGTTACTGGAGTGAAGCGCAGTATGAAGTCAGTCAGGGCAGTTGACTGCTCTCTAAATGGTTACCATGCCAACAGTTATTTGGTTCATTTAGCGTTTCACATTAATGTTAAGAGGTGTTTTGGGCGTGCGTCACAAAAATGTGAATTGAAGATAATTTGTAGGAGTTTGAGGATGTGTGGGTTAATCTCAGCTGTTGTTTCATCTTGCAGGCTCCATTTCCCAACAGTACATTTGTTAATGGCTTTGGCACAGCAGGAAACTACAAAACTGGCTCGTCTCCAATCAGCCTTACACGCAACTACTCCCGCAACCGGTAAGATCCTGAAATCTACTTGTTGTTTTAAAAATCTCTTTCTTAGCCTATCCCTTTCCCTCTCTGCCAAAAACATAATCGGTTGTTTCTTCTACCATGGGAAATTTATATCCATGGGGTTGGTTTTTAATAAAAACTGACTTGTTCGGGGTTTCTCCTTGTCTTAAGTCTTAATTCACCCTTCCACAAATTAAGGCTTTGAAAATGCCTTAAATCAAAGCAGAAAGTCTTAAATTTATGGTACAGAAAGTCATGGCATTAAATGTTGTATGCATTGCAAAAACTTACGATTCAACCTCTGAAGTTTGTTGTTGAATCAATACATTGAAAAATGGAAAGCAGGTTTTTTGATGAGATGTTTTAGCTTGTCTGTTTGCAATCTGATCATTTAAAGCCTTTAAACTGAAGGTTTTTAGTCCAAGGATCCAGTAAGCGAATGCATTCATGCGGTCAGTCCAAAACAGTGCTAATGCAGAGAAAACTCTGCTGATTACATCAGAGATGGAACATTATTCATTGCAGTGTGTATTTAGCTTTTAACAAAAACTTCTCTCATATTCAGAGATTGTTTCTGAGCCATGCGAGTCACATCACAGTGCTGAAGTACAAATGAATTAATCAGTGAAATACAGACTGAACGGCAGGTCAAAGCATCCAACAGGGGGGCTAAACGTAGAGCTACTCGCTCTACGTTTATTTAAAATGACCAGCAAGACAACTAGAGGTGAATATGTGCTTTCCATTAAATGAATCACACACAGTAAACAAAACCTTAACAAAAAAAAACCTAGCAATGAATGTGCTTTGTTTTAAATAAATCACACACAGTAAACAAAACCTTAACAAAAAAACTTTGTAATGAACTTTGCAATTTAGACAGCGTGCCGGTGCGGTGACACGTACATGCTCGGGCAGATTCGTCTGGAAGTCGTTCATCCTCGGATGCGGTGCCGCGCGCGCTGTTACAAAAAAAGCCGTGCACACAGCCAAGCGAAATGGGGTCTTGCCGGTCTTGCGCACCTTCGCGCTCGTGCGGACGCGTCGAGTATAAACAAGGCTTTACTCCGTGTCAGCGCGCTCTGATCGGTAAAGGGGCGCAGACCTCTCCTGAATCATCTCCAGCAGTAGCAGCCTCCGAAGCTCCAACTCCGCCTCCGTTTCCCTCGTAAGCTGATATTAGTATTTAAACATTCTCTGTTAAAATTTTTTTGTAAACTATTTTAATAGCACGGTTTTGGCGGTTATAGAGTTCTAATGACGGTGTTCAACTATAACCGTCGGTCTCACGGTTATATAATAACCGTCACACCCCTAGCTATAGGCATGTGCATTCGGCTCGAGTGCACTGTAGTAAAAATGCGTATGTGCGCAGGCACGTAGTCTTTCTTTACAAAGTGACATGGCATGCATAATACAGCGGTATAAGTTGTTTCAGTGGATCCGTGTGAAAGGGTATTGTTTTGATAACATTGTCATCTGTACAAAGAAAAAATAATTTCTGTCACTGCTGTGAACTGACCACCACACAGAATATCAAAAACTTTAGGAGTCAGCTGTCCACGGCAGTCCTAAACCTGCCACGGTACCAGGACAATAACACACAAATATGGTCTACCTAATTATCGTTATCGAGAAAATCCCAGAAAATATCGAGAGTTTATTTTATTTTTTATATCGTGCACCCCTAGTTGGAAGTGGTATTTTACAACACTCTGAAGTGTTGCTAATAAAATCATTGTGTTTCTCCATAGACAAGGACATTTAGAAAACATAATGATGTATTGAGTTCCCTTTAATTTATTCCTTAGGTTTTCTTCGGTGAGTTTAACGTCTTTGTAAACTAAAGTTTAATGCGTTTTAGGACGGAGTGTTCCTGTGCACCTATGCAACCATTGTGGAGGTGGGGGGGGTGCAACCACAGAAACCGAAAATTCTCGGGCCAGCAGCATGTGTCCAAATTTTAATCTTAACCATTCTATTTCATCAGAAACGATCTTAAAACAGGGCTTTAAGTGTAAAATACCGAACTTGTCCTTTAAGGTGTGCAAATTTCCGGTATGACGCCCTTGGCAGCACAGGGACGCTGCGTGAAGAACCAGGAGTGCTGAACACGGATGGATGACACATGGAAAACGGATACAGGCAGGGAACAAACACGCAGGAAAAATCCACAATGATCTGACAAAGACTAGGCGACAACAGTGACACTAAAAAGGGTTCGCTGATCAGTTGCAGCTGGCGCGTTGATCATAAGCAGCGGCCGTGCTGATCAGCGGCAATGATCAGCGACCACGCACACACACACAACAAGACGAGAAAGGAGACAGCGAATTCATAAACCGTGACATTGTCTCTCTCACTGTCAAAAGAATATCTAAATAAGATACTTTTAGTTATCTTGTTCTGAGTTATGTTGAATGGATATGGAAATATAGCTGTCTGTTGTGAATATGCGATAATTACGGGCTACTTATATTTATTATTTATAAATGTATAATTAAACTTGTTTAAATGTACAGTTTGGTGTTTTGTTTTTAAAAGATATCCTAATACAATAAATGCATTAATTTCTCAATTGGTATTTATCATTAAAGATATAGTGTTTGCAATCTAACGGTCAAAATGACCGCTTGTGGCAGTTCTAGTAGTTATGGAATTCTGGCACTTCTAGTGTTAAAGACCCACTCCGATGAAAATAATGTTTTTCTAGGTGTTAACATGTTCTTGTGGCATTTTTCTGATGTTAGAGGACATATCTTGAGAAAAATAAGCTCAAAGTTGTATTTCTGAGTATTTCTACATTCAAATGGCTGTGAATCAGTAGCAGACGCTAAAATGCGGGCTAAAATAGACTGGAGTTGTGACGTAGTAACTCCACTGGGCGTCTCCACACGCGACGTCTTGGAGTGAAATAATGATCGGTGATAACTTTGATTAACTTCGGATAATAATAATTAACGTGTATATAATACTGTTGCCCCACCGGTATTGGGGGTGTACGCTAGCGGGAGAGACAGAGCTCTCAGCAACGGGCAGGGGGAGGGTCGTCTCCGTGCCAACGGCTCCGCCCACAACGCAGAGGCGAATTGCTAATGAGCTACTGCCGCTCTGCTGAAGCGAAGTCCCAGAAAACGGCACAGGTTTTGTGATTTTGGCTAAAAATGGCATAATCATAATTTAAAGACCACTGGGAATGTTTAAAAATAGCTCAAAATATGATCGGAGTGGGACTTTAATGACTAACTCAAAGACAGTCCATTGCCGTAGCAATATAACTGCGCACTGAGTGACAGCCTTTCAATGCGCAGAGATGCTGTTTAGTTTGTTACTGAATGTCCTCGTTTTTGTGCATGCTGACCACATCGTAACACTTATTTATATAGCAATAAATAAATCCAAATAAATAAATGGCGATAATACCGCATATTGAGCCACTCAAAATCACCACAAGAGAAATTCCTTCACCGCGACAGCTTTACAAGGCTCGACTGAGCAGCAATGTGCCGCGTGGGCAACGCTGAAACTAATGCTTCACTTCGTAGAGATCAATGGCATTGATTTAATGCATTGACCAGCGCTGCACTGGCACCATTCATGGGAAATACCCTTAAACGTTAAAAGGATGATACGACAAAGATTTCGCTCTCCTTGGAAATGGCAAACTTATTTTATGACTTGACCTGAAAGGAAAGACGCAGGTAATCGCACGTGCCAAGTCGATCTCTCTCTCGCTCGTTCACGGTTTGTTTAGGCTTAAGTGCAAATCAACGGAGCCTCTGTACAAATCCCCATGATAAACAGTCTTGTTATCATTATTAACTTATTTAACATTCAATACACATGCATCAAGTGTAAAACAAGGGCATACCCTTATGAAAAAAAGAAAACGTGTATATATCGCGGTTGCTGCAGGTGCTTGCATTCCTCTACTAATGCCTGTTAGTAGTACTGTAACTGTTATTTTGTTAAATTATTGTAGTTGGGTTATGTCGGTGGATTAGGTTTTATTGTGAATTTGTTATATAATTTTGTTTTGTATTTATATATACTTTAAACTTTCAATATATTGTTCAATTTAAATCTTTTTTTTTTTTCAATAAGACATTCTTTAATGTCATCCACCGTCGTTTTGTGGCTCTTTTTTAAAAGTATCGAACAAGAATAACTGATCATTTAAATAAACTATAACATTAACAATGGTCTGTTGAAGTTGTTATTCTTTAATAATGTTAGTTAAGAAAAAAAAAACCATGATCATTGTTAGTTCGTTAGCTCAGGTTTTTTTTATAATGTATTATGTTGAAACTTAGATCAAGATTAATAAATGCTTTATAAAGTATTTTTCATCAGTGAGTTTTAACTATTGAATTTACTAATGAAGCCTTATTGTAAAGTGTTGCTGAACAATAATAAAGAATCAGAACATTTTCAATCAATATCTAGGGCATGTTGTAGTCCAGATTAAAATGTAAAAGTTTGAAATAAATAGGCTATAATGTATTTGGCAGTGTGGTTAACACCATTGCGAATACAAAAATCTGAATGGCTGTTTAAAACAATTAAATATTTTGTTTACGAGGGTTACCAATGTAACGGTTGCATTTCTGCTCTTCCATAAGCACCATTTGCTGTCAGAGAGTGAATGCGCATTGTCATTCAGTGCGTCTCCTTCACTCATTCCGCCTTGCTGCTCATGCGTGTTGGACTTGTTTACATCAGAGTGCACATGCCTCTTTGACGAAGCACACACAGTGTTATACATTTTAACCAGTTGATGGAAAAGTATTAAAGCATTCTACAAATCTGAATATTTCCTAAATAATTATTCATGGTATTTTAAAGTGTCCACGATAATACCGTGCATGTTCATTATTGTGATATATCGTATTACTGTATATCAGCACATGTCTATCCCTCCATTTCTAATTAAATTGGCTGAAGTTTTTGTTCAAGTGTGAAATATTGAAGTTTAACTACATTGATTTCCTTGTCATGTGCAGAAAGTGAGGCAGAGCTCTGTGTTTCAGCAACTGGAGTCAGACTGTCTTTGTTACTTTTACTTTCTAGACTTCCACTTTATTCCAGAAAGAATGTAATCAATGCCTTCAGGTAAATTCATTTTAAATCATCGTATGCACGTTCATCTTAGTGCTATTTAACCATGAGTAAGAGCTCCATTGTGAAAGACCATCATGACTCGGCTAAAAGCTGTATGTTGCATGTTGGCTTTCACAGTGAATGACAGTGCATTGTCATCAGATCTGTCATGTAACCCTGTCCTTGCATGTATCATCTGTTGATCTGCGTGTATGAGAATTTCCTGATTGTGTCTTGAAGTACATGCATTATAAATAAAATCTGCATAGGTGTTGAATGATGAGGACAGGTGAGCCAGTGGCCTATAGTGCCAATATATGCTTTATCCAATTTAATGGCAAATGAGATAGCCTAAATGTAATTTTGGCTAAAAGGAAGTAGCAACAATATTTGTTCACTTTATATTCGTTTATGTGCTTGAGTCGAAAAAAGTAATTGTTGGGTGCTATGCTCTTATTGTGTTCATGTTGTATTGCAAATAACTTTTGCTGCTATTGAGGTGGGATGCGTATGTAAGGTTAGGGACAGGTTTAGTGGTATGGTTAGGGTTAAGGTGTAGGGATTAAATGGATCATAGTTTATCCGTGGTTCGTACAGACCAGGCCCCATGTGATTTGTGGATTAATTGCAAAGTTTAACCATCATAGAGCAAAAGTTTATAATTTGGCATGTTTTGTCTTGCAAATTTACACATTCACGTGATTTTAAACTATTCCAGTGCAAGAAGCGATAACTCAATTCGGTACGCCCTCGCTGTTATCTGTAAGCACAGCCGTGCACACTAAATTGATTCCTCTTTTGCATCATCTTGCGGTTGAAAGGACACATAAGCCATGTTTCCATCCACTTGTCAATCGAATTATCTGAAGTTCGGTAAAAAACCTCATGCGAATAAAGCTGGTGAAAGTGTGTTTCCATCAAACTGCTTTAAAGCGGATAAAAACCTGTGCGTAATGACGTCACATGCTGTTTTGCGATCAAATTGGTATATCGAATTGATTTGAGACATGTTAAGGTGTTTCCATTCATTTTCTCACCGAATTGCACAACATTCAAGCCAACATTTGCGAACAAAGTTTTACTAGGCTAAATGGATCGCACCATAATAACGTTTCCATCCGCGTTTATCGCATAAGCCGTATATCGATCAAGATAAAATCCGATGAGACCGATCGTATTTCATTTGAGTCGATATTCATGAAATTCAATCGAATTTTACTGTTTCCATAAGGCATTTTTCATTCGATATCACTTAATGCGGATAAAAACGTGTGGATGGAAACATAGCTATACACACAAATTTGTCAAAATACGCATCTCAGCATGTATTCTGAAACGTAGTCGGTTATGTCTGTAGTGAACGTAAACGGTTGAGTAAAAAATCGGATGTCATTAAATTTGGATCTGTGCATTTGCTCTCAAAGTGACAGCAGCCTATAAATACCTGCTGCTGTCTGTCATTATAGATTAATCTTTAGCCCCTTTCACACAGCGCTTTGAACCCGGCAAATTGCCAGACTGCCTTCTGTGTGAACGCAAACACGACCCGGGATTGATGCCGGGTCGGGGACCTAGTAACATTGCCGTGTTCAGACCCGGAACGCGCGCTGTGTGAACAAAAGCCAGAACCAATGCCGTATAAGGGGTGTGTCGTAGTGATGATTCACGAGCCTTTGCAATGACGTAGTTATCGTGCGACTCAGTTACTCTAGAAGAAAGTTTGTGTTCGTCATCGATACAAGAAAGAACGAAAAAAATTCTGCAAACTGGACTGAAGTAGAGACCGGTCACATCCAACGTCACGCGTCTTTCCGGAGCATACACGGGTTGTGTGTGATCGCGCTCTCTGATTCCAGCAAATCACTGGCAGTCTGAATGAAGCAAAATCAAACGAACCCGGGTCAAATCCCGGGTCGCTTTATCCGTGTATTTTCCGGAATCTCTGTGTGAAAGGGGCTAGTGTTAAAGCTGTGTTCGGTTGTTGGATTAACATTATTTTATATATACAGTGAACACTAAAGTGTTTTTATATTTAAGCCCAATTACATTTCTGTAGCTGAATACTACAGTTAGGCCACTTCATTTGTAACTGTTATTGTATTCAACTAACTTGTTTATTACTGACTTTTCACTTTTAATGTTTGAACTTTATTAGTTAGGCTAGACGTTTTTGATGTGGTATCGAAGTACTTAAAGTGTGCTTTAAATAATAAATGAAAAGCAAATTACATTTGCCTCCACCCATTCCACCCCCCTCCCCCATTTTTTCTTGTTGATCTGAAAAATTATCTGATCCTTGACTCAAAACGCAATATAATCCAAACCACTAGTTTTGTGATCCATTGAACCACTGTTAAGGTTTAGGGGTCAACAGTGTAATTGTATAAATAAAAAAATACAAGTACAATCTAAAACATTTATGTACACGCATGTATTCGCTTTTGAATTTGTAATTACTTGTATTCTGTGTATATATAGGCCTAAAATTTGGGGCATCAGGGAGCTGCTATCTATATGCAGAGTACTGAAATCGGTTTTGAAAGCACGCTCGCATTTGCGTTTATTCTGTGTATAGGGAGCGGCGATATTGGCCGCACATTTTACAAGATATGTCAGTGACGCTCAGGATCTGTGGCGCACCAAATCCTCTGCCATTGTCTTGTCGGTCATCTCTTCACTCTGCTACTAGTACTGTATGGAGTTGTGTCCGTTGTCCAACTGAACAAAATGGTTTTTATTTCTAAAAAAAAAAAAGCGAAATGACAGTGGGGGTGGTGCTGTGTCGGCCATGTAATGTAATCAGTTTACATCCGAACACTGTGTAGCACCGGTAACCCTGACTACCGCAGCAAGCCTGCTACAAAAGAAATGAAAATGGTGTCACTTCAGGAATTTCTCTGCAAAACATTTTTCTTTTTGTCACTACATCTCTCATGCATATCATCTCCATTTGTGATGCTTGTTCTACACAGTGAGAGAGACCACCCTTAAAGCCCAGCTGGACAAACTCTCTGTTCTACAGATGTTTATTCAGCTTTGCTCTGGCTTTTGAGCCTTGGTTATAGTTAAATGCTATCACTTCTGAGAAACGGCTGATTTTTCTGTGCTCTGTGCAGGAATCATGTAAAGCCACAGCCTCGTGCTGATGCGAGTCAGCTGACGGAGACTTCGTCCGGTGCCGGTAGTCCTCAGCCCCCATGCACCCCCACTTCAGACACCATTGCCTCCACCCTCACCCCGCTCTCTGAACCGCCAGTTTCCCCCAGAGAGAACCACCTCTCCGAACTCTGCATCAGCAGCCGGGCCAGGTCAGTACACACAGATAAGACATGTAGCAGCATTTTTCTTTTACCTGTATAATTTAAGTTAACTGTATAAGAATCAGATTTGGTTGTTTTGACCCAGTGATGATCAACTAAGCGCATAGAGGGAAGCAGGGAGTGATGGGAAGACTTTAGGAGTTCTTTATTTTCTCTCTGATCACTTCTCTTGTCCTTTCATTTCTTCCTTTATCTCTCTTGCTCTCTCTCCTTAAAGTCTCTGTCACTCCTGTCCCAGTGAGCGTTAAGATTATGAGATCTGAGGGTCATCTGTTAAGTGCGTTCTCTGAATTGTGACAGGTTTGATGAAACGAGTGTATTTAACGACTTATGTGATGTGTCCAGGAGAGGAAGCTATCGTGGCATGAGGAGGAGAAGAGAAGATGAAAGGATGGTAAGTCCTAAGTTTATTGCATGGTTCTCCAAAATTGTTACATTTTTGTTGTCTCTCGTTTCATTTAATTTCATTTTACACAGAGGCAGAATCCTGAATCAGAGGTGAAAACTCCGCCTCCAAAGTTTGACCTCGCAACCACTAACTTCCCGCCTTTACCAGGAGGTGTGCCGAGTTGTCTGCCAGGTGTGACCATGCAAACGGAGTCTGTGTTGGAAAATCGCATGGCAGATGTAGTTAAGGGCATCAGCAGGGAAAAGGTAGTAAGAACTACTTCCTGTACCTGTGTATTCTCAATTACAATTTTTTTGCTTGTTCACAGAGAATCTTCGATATCACTCAAGTAAAGTTGCAATTTTTCCGTGTGCTTTAGCCTGAAACAAATAAGCAAGATGTCAGTCAAGATGTCAGTCAAGATCCCAGAACATGTCAAGTGGAGGCCCAGTCGACCGGACTCTCCCCTCCAGCGCCAAAGCTTCCCGCCACAAAACAGGACACGCCTACCACTAGGTACACACATGCATGTACACGCATTAGGCATCATAAACTACTAATGAACATTACTTTTACAGCATTTATTAATCAAGGTTTTAAATTATAAATATACAAATATGAAATAATTATAACAAATTATTTGTAAATAAATATTACTATTATTAAGGTGGTTCAAATAGAAGCAGGTTGAAAATCTTGGAACTCCACATTTCTCTGTACAGTGCGTCACATCAAGTGAAGAAACCAGAGAAAGAGGTTCAGACCTCTGACACGCCTCCAGAGCCTGCATCAGTGACAGCATCAGTGACCACACACCACCACCACCACCACGTCCAGCCCATTTCCGCCCCAAAACCTTTGCGCAGCCAATCAACCTCAAGCACTGAAACCTCATCTACTCCACCTCTGCCATCAATCACATCTTTACAGGTAAACACCTTAATTTGCTAAATTATAAATGCTCCTGCAGCTTATTCACACATGAAAGTAAAAAAAAAGAAAGAAGAGATTTGTTAACCTTTAAGGTTTTATTGACCCCTCAGGAGCCTCGGAAGCTGAGCTATGCGGAGGTGTGTCAGAGGCCACCCAAAGACCCTCCCCCTGCACCAGTAGCCCCGCCCAGCCCCAGTCCCACCCCTTCTCCCACCACAAACCAACCTCTACGTGAACTTCGAGTCAACAAAGCGGAAGGCCCAGCTTCATCCCGCTGCAGCCCCGGTGAGAAAATGGAGAAGGGAAGCGAGAGTCGGACGTCCAGAGAGCAGACTGGCTACCAACGTGGTAATGGTCCCAGAGGGTCAGCCTTTAAGCTCAGAGAGCAACAGAGACGACCTCCACAGGGTCGGCGCTCCTCGCCACAGTCGGGGTACAACAGACGCAGTGGAAAAGAACAAAACATCCCACCCAGATCGCCAAATTAATGCCTCTTATGCCCACGACACATGCACAATCGCGTGTATACTTCGATACACATCTTATACATAAAGCAAGAGTATATAAATCTATATATATATCTATATAAAATCTACATATGAAAACTGGACTGTCGCACTGTGGTGTCGAAGAATCCTCTGCCTCCCGAATGACTTGAAATCTGGGAAGTTGATTCTTAAAAATACAGAAGAAAACTAGGAATTTAAGGAAGATGAAAAAAAACCTCTTACACTTGAACTGAGAAATGGAGGCCATGCTTCCTGTGTTGTCTGATTTACAGCGATTAATTAGCTTGTAAATGAGTTTTGATTTTACTTGGAGTGTTTAAGGTCCTGGCACTAGTGTACAATGTTGTACATTTTATTTTATTATTATCTATAAATGATAGTTCTGTTGGTGAGAAATCAAGCACATGTTGTTTGTATGCAACAGATCACACAAAGACAGCATTATATCGCCCCCACTGGTCCATATTTCACCTTTGTGTGAGTTTGTGCACTGGCTGTGGGAAAATTTGATTCAGATGTGATGCTCTCCCAAATAATTCTGTAATCGACACAGAATTATTTGAGATTCATAGTGGTTCTTTAATTTATTGGAAACATGCGCAAGATTAAACATTACAGATATCGATAAAAGGTTCCCACTGCTCACTGTCCTTGAAAAAGTGGGATTTCCAGGCTTGGGGGGAAAAAATCATAGAAATGAATAAAATAACTAATGTAATATCAGTTATTTATACAGCTAGAAATTACTCCAATATGAGGAGTCAATCTCTCTTTAAGATAATTTCAAAAAAAATCCTTATGTTGTCATTAAAAACGTCTGGAAATGTTTTGGTCGACTGTGTGGGAACCCTGTCGATATGTGGCATGCAGTTTCAAACGGAACTCTCAAGCTGGCTTTAAGGGTTTGGCCTGATTCAGAAAGCTAAAGCACTTTGTGAATTAATTAAAATTTAAACATGAGGTGTTCATTGATTCCCAACCCGGTCTAAAACTGGAGGACAAGTGTATGCTGTTCAGACAAAGAAAGAGGGAAATTTGTAGGTTTGAAGGACACATTTAGACTGATCAAGACTGACGAATGGATGAAATGGTACTGAACATCCATAGAAAAAAAGACAAATATAATACAATTTAAGGTGATTTTGAGTTGGTGTGTCGTGCTGTATAATGTCGTACGGTGTCATCTGTGATGTACGGTGTTTTTGAATGCTGAGTGTCCGTAACGGGAAGATCAAGCTGCTTTTAGGCTGAAAGAATGAATAGATATTATTGTGTAAATGAGCAAAGCCACTGTTTGTCTTCCTCTTCCTTTGGAGTGAAAGTCTTGATGGTGTTTCTATACTGTCAGCCTTTGTTTTTTCCGTCTGCTGTAGATGCTGGTGACAATAATCAGGTTGGATTTTATATGCTCTCAGTTAGTGTGCTGCTTTGGAGTTGCTGTTCATGTCCTAGTCTGTGATGTATGTCAGTCTATGTTGTGTTTTCCTTCTATTTGTTTGTTTAATAATAATCTGTATTAGACACTTGTGTGTATGCCTGTACATTTCAGGTGTGATTACATGAAATATACCTGCTACAGAGCTCATAATTTACCCGTGTTATCCAGTCTCATGCCAGGCTTGGTAAAAGAGAGGGAACTCAGGACCTCAGAGGAAATTGGTGATATGTATGACTGCAAATTTTTGTCCAATACTTATTGCAGGATTTTTTTGTAGCCTTTTGAATTCAGTAATCCCATTAAACTGTTTAGGGGTCTTAAGTTTCAGTTAATAATGTGTATTTGAACGTTTAATCAAATGACACTGTTATGCATGGTTCTCTCCTCAATTCGATTTCCTCCCCTCTTTATCTCATTCTCATGTATGGATGGGTTGTGCACAGATCCAGACCAAAGTCAAATCAGCAGAGAGACAATCTCAGGAAGTGCTGTTTCAATGCAGTAGCTCCTCCCTCACTCCCCTCTTATTCTGCCATGGGCAGGGCCACTGTTTGAGCGAGTGTTTATAATCATGATTGTTGATTAGTGAGTTGAACTATGTATGTTTTGGTTTTTGAAAAATGTGTGTGCGTGTGGAACGTTATAAAGGTGTCCTAATGAATCATTTCTCAATCCCCTACTTTTAATTTGACAGTTTTTAGAAGAACCATCGGAGGGAAATTTTATGCATCAGTTTTGTTTTAATTTATTTTGTTTTAAATTCTGTTTCTCTTTTCAACTTTCATTGTGGCTTTCTTGCCCAAACATATGCGTGTTGTTAGTTTGAGATGATTTATTTAGATTTTTATTTTCTGTTTTGCAATATTATACTTGGGCGCAAATTACGTAGAGACTGTGCCACTAAAATTAGAAAAATCAGTGGAACTGGTTTTATTTTTTTATTATTTTAACTGAATTAATGGATTTGATTCATAACTGGTTGGTGAAATGAAATGATTACGTTTTGTTCCTAATCTTATATCCTGTGTAGGCTGTAAGCATTTAGACACCATGAAATGGCACGGTTACAAGTAGCAAGTCTTTAGCCGAAAAAAAAGTATTCATCCTTTCTTTTTAATTTTTATAGGGGGATAGGCTCTGTCCCGGGAGATAGGTATAGCAACTGCTGAGTGAAGTGTTTTGGATGATATTGTAGATGTTCAATGAAAATGCTTAAGGAAATGGAAGAAAATAAATAAATGATAAAATGATTTTAATCTGTGTTTGACTATTTTTGAGAACCCCTGTTGAAAGTACAACCTAGTAATTCTATAGGGTAATTCTATTTTTTTTATATAAAGTATTACCACCACATCACATAAAGTAGACCAAGTATTTTTAGAGCAATTTGAGATCGTTTGTATTGTAAAACCCTGTGACTCTGTATCTGTCCTCTTGCCTTGTTTTAAATTTAATTAAATGCAAGTATTGTTCTGATAGATTAAGTAGCTAATTTTCAACAGAACTCTAAAGGGAAGAAACTCTTGTAGCATTCTCCAGTATGATTTTATTTCATTTGTCCCAAATTGTGATAACTGAATGGAAATCATCTACACATTCCCTTTGTTGTTTTTCCACTGGGCCATTTTGTAGTAATAAATCGCAGTGCATAAATTGATGGCATTGTATTGGATTCCATTTAGAATAATGTGAGCGAACATTTGATTGCAATTTTGGGGGATTTTTAGTGATTTAAAGATAAATCAACAAATGGTTATTTCATATGCTTAAAAAGCTTTACGAGCTATATTAAGAGCTTTATTATATCTCTAATATATACTTTTATTGCGTCATTCGACGTGTTCGGTGTGCAGCACAGACATGCGTAAACTAGAGCATTGGATTTTTCATCACACAGCTTCAAATCTGTTACGTAACGACTTTAATCTGGTTTCTTTCAGTATGACCTCAACATATCGCGAGATTTACATATTGTGAGCAAGCTGGATGAAGGAGTTCCAAAGGTGGGAACGCGGAGAGAGAGGGAACGAGGGAGGAGCAGGGTAAGTTTGTAAACACTGAAATCCTTGGCCGAGGAACAGGTGACACGCAACACATTCGGATTACCTGATGCATTAAAATTAGTGATTTCAAGTGTAGCGGCGCTGGTCTCGCGAATGGTGGAGGTGTCATGAGCACCGTGTGTACACTGCACGAGACGCGACACAATTAGAACACTCCCATTATAATCAACGAAATCTGCGCGCGCTCGCATTGTAGATTCGTTTAATATTTGGGAGTGTTCTTGTTTTGTCCCTTCGCGTCGATCGCTTGCAGTGTAAATAGGGTGTTACAGCCTGTTGGCTCATGTGTGGTTAGCATTAGCCAGTTAGCTTTAGTGATGGGAAGTCCGACTCGTTTTCGAGAATCGGTTCCTTTGAACAGTCCGTTTCAAAGAACCGATTAAACACGGGATTCAGCTATTCTGTATTCAATCCATAGATTCAATCACGTAGTTGCGTCATCTCGTAGTCACTGATTTTGTCAATCGTAATAATAATTAATCATAACAGTTATATTGTAATGTAATGTGTCTTGTTTCAGTTGTTGTTTAAAAACCCATTTAGAACCTTACATATAATTTGCCACTGCAGTATATATATATATATATATATATATATATATAGCCTATATATATATATCCTATATATATATATATATATATATATATATATATATATATATATATTATGCTGTCATGCAGTAAAGTCATAAACATATTTACAGTACATTTTAATTGTAACATTTCTGCTATTAAGCTATTAAAGTAATTTACATTTCAGTTAACTCCTCCAACTCCTCTTACTGTCAGCTCACTCATCGGCTCACTGATTCAGTCCGATTTGTGGACGAATCGTTCGGCATGGATTTGTGTATTGAAAAGATCCGACTCAAAAGAACGATTCGTTCACAAATCGGACATCGCTAAGAACCATTTAAATGAAACACACGGCGCGCTAGGAGTTGCGACAACCCCTCCGACAAGTTATCGTGTGGTTGACATGGTTGTTATGGCTTTGTTACATACTAATGTGGATTAATTTGGCTGTGGATATCTTTCTGGAAATGCTTAGAGAGGAAACGCATGCTAGCTAGCGGTATGTGTTAGTGTTATAAAGCTATTGGGTTGAAGCTGGTTTAATTTAGCGGAAATGTTCTTTAAACAGGGATGATCTCAGACAATAGTCAAATGAAAGCGTCTTATCATGTAATCATCATGCACATTATGCAATCAGTTGAACCCAGCAGGCCTCTGTGCAGCAATGAAGTATGGATTCCTGTCATCTGTCAAGAGACTCTACAACATTTCAAATGGAAAGTTTTGGAGGAATTCATATTTTAATTAGGGGGTATATGTTCAGACGATTGTTCAAATTGACCTGAAATTAATAGAAATTAGTCTTTTAAAAAGTCTGGATCTCATAAGATAAATCATAACTGTTCTTTTTGGATGGTCTTTAGAAGTAACACAGGAAGTAGTTGATCTAAAATGGGAGACGATCGACCTTTTGTCTGCACTGCCCCAGGCTGTGGACAGGTAAGAGCTATTTTCTTTTTATTATTACTCTTAAAGTCTCTTTTCATGGTGTTCCTCTCCCACTGTGTAATGTATATGTGCAGTCCTGATCCTTTGGTCCAAGTGTTCAAGATTTTGGGAGGTTTAAGAATCTGCCCTTCAATTTCTTTTACGCCCCTTAATCTTGGGGACAGAAGCAGATTGTTGCCCAAAACTTTTATTCTGAAATCACACCAGCTGTTTTAATCCCTGCTTCCACTGGGCAACTGTAAGAGGCTCCCATAGCACTGCATAACTGGATAACATAAGCCGTCATCAAAACAACAGATGGCCTGATATCATCCATTGCTTCTCTGTCTCTAGCTTCCATCTGATTTGAATTAGGATCCTGAATGAGATGCATATTGACTGAAAACTTTACTGTGGGTTAACGCATGTGTCTGTGTCAATGTTTCTCTCACGTCAGAGGTTCACCAATGAGGACCATTTGGCAGTGCACAAACATAAGCATGAGATGACGCTAAAGTTCGGACAAGCCAGAACAGATACAGTTATTATAGCAGGTTTGTGTCCCTACATATATGAATTTCTGTCATTCTGTTGGCTCAGTCTGCGTTGTGTTCACAGTAGGGGTTGCACTGACTAGTCGAGTGTCGACTTTAATGCTCTGCTATGACGTCAACTAGTCGCTGATCATGTGATTTTGACACTAACAACACGGCTGCCTTGCAGAAGACCTTCAGACTGTTCTGACTTGGTGTGCTATATTTTTTCTAACTGATCGGAGTTGAGATTTAAGTATAAATTACAATCAAAACAAAAAAACCCCCATAGATTTACACGGACTGTAATACCAGTCCTATAGAGTATAAGAAATCTTTGAAAACCACTTTTAACTCTCCGTTTCCATCAGTTAAAATGACAAATAAATGCATACTCCCGAGAGCACTCCACTAGTTATGTTTGTTTATAGTACTATCTGGATACTCAATATTGATCGGGTGAATGCACCTTTTAAACAGTTCATTGGACAGGTAAGTTAATCGCTGTTCTAAACTAATGTGCTGCTACATTGTAACACGCACGCATTAATATACAGACAGAAGCTTGCACATCACGTGCAGATCGCGCGCACACAGAAACATTCAGGAGCGCAAAAACTTACCATCAGCGCTGTTCTGTGATTTATCAATAAATTAGCTTATAAACTGAAAAGTGCTAGCATATATTGCTTTCTGCTTTTGAACTAAAACCCACACCTTCACTATTAGTGGAGAGACGTTCTACAGACAGGTAGGATTCATTCACACAGGCAATCGCTCTCTCACTAATGCATTCAAATCTTACTGTACTACTTTATCTGTATCTCTGATTTAGAACGAGCAGAAATCTGTAAGAAATATAATGACCCATAGACAAAATAACTGAACATTTTTCACAAACTTTAGCAGTTGCAAATTGTGGCATGTTGCAAAGCATTCCCATCTCTTGTGTTTTTATTAATTACATCATCAATGATTAGTCGACGTCGACTTGTTTAACCAGTAGTTCAGAGTAAGTTGCATTGAGGCCAGTTCACACCTAGAATGAGTGTCCACACCAACACACAATAAAATTGTGTTTATCGTAAGCCTGCGCTGCAGTTATGTCCTCTGCTGCTGCAAACGTTTAAGCTCTTTAAAGTCGGGTGGATTCTGATTGATTGTCAATGTTTTTAATCATTAATCAGCTGGAAAAAAACTGAAAGTGATTCCAATGGTATCCTCCTTTTGTGTCGTTATCGTTAAGGCCCGTTCTCACCAAAATCAATAAAGATATAGCTATAAAGTTTTAATAATAGTTCTAATTCTATGCAAATAGGGATGACCACATTACAAATCTAACAATAATGATACAGAAGAACAAAATCGCTGGAATTGCTCTCAGAGCGTTATAGTTTATTTATTTATTTTTCTGCTGATGAATGATAAAAACTGTTTCCATCCAAAGTTGCTAATTTAAAGGGATACTCCACTTTTTTTGGAAATAGGCTCATTTTACAACTCCCCCAGAACTATACTCTCATTCCTGCGTAATAATCAAGAAACTTTACTGCCGTACCATGAGAGCAGCAGGCGTAATGATATGACGCAGCACCTGAAAATAGGCCACCTTCCGTCAACACAACGGAACTATTTTCAGGCGCTGCGTCATATCATTACGCCTGCTGTTCTCGTGGTACGGCAGTAAAGTTTCTTGATTATTACGCAGGAATGAGAGTATAGTTCCTAGCCATATCAGCCTAGAAAATCGCAACTTTACATTTTCCGTCGGTCTTAGTGCACGATGTAACTACAGAAGAGTCAAGTTTTAAATAGGAAAAATATCTAAACTCTTTGGTCATTTTTGTTTAGAAATGCTAATGGTCTTGTCCACTTCAATGATGTATGCTAAGCTATGCTAAAAGTGGTACCGCCAGATCCGGAGATCGGCTGAATGGATTCAAAAACGCTAAAACTCAACAGTTTAACTCTGGGGGAGTTGTAAAATGAGCCTATTTCCAAAAAAAGTGGATTATCCCTTTAACTGGGTTCCTGGGAAACTCGCGCAAAATATCTTTAATAAGATGGAAGTTGTTGTAATCGGGAAAGCCACTGTGGCTTTTTTCATACAAGACTTGGACCGCAGAGCGTGCAGACGAAATGCAGTAAGTACTGTCATGTCCTCTTGCTTTCAGATGCCTTGGGAACGCAGTCGTGCAAGGCAGTTCTGGGAGGTCATTATACCAAATACTTTTGATTACGGACATTGGCTCAGGAATTTCAGAATGACTCAAACAACATTTGAGATGCTCTGCAATGCATTTGGTCTACTGTTTAGTCCAGTTATCCAATCACATTTTCTTTTGTGGCAAAATCACGCCATTTTTTTTATTGCGCCTTGAGGGATTTATTCTGTAAATGTTTCCATTGTAGTTTATGTGCATGTCTTCTTATCTGATAAAAAGTGATCCGCCTCAATTGAGCGCATACATTTTTTATGCATATTTTTAGAATTTATGGGCATTTATGCAATATCCAAAAATTCATATAAAAATAGGTGGATGGAAACATAGCTAGTGAAAGCCAATCAGAATCCATCCTGCTTTAAAGAGCTCGAGGATTTAAAGTGGCAGATGACAAATTTAGCGCAAACCTGTAATATACGGAATGTTGTCTTCCGCTAATAATAATAATAATTGATTACATAGCGCTTTTCTCTGGAATTAAAGTGCTTTACATGGAAGGGGGGAATCTCTTCAACCACCACCAATGCAACATCCACCTGATGATGCAACGGCAGCCATAGTGCAACAAAGCCCCCGCCACACACCAGCTTAAGTTATTGGTGGAGAGGATATGAAGCCAATCAGTATATATGGGGATGATTAGGAGGCCATGATGATGGACAGAGGCCAATGGGCAAATTTGGCCAGGATGCCGGGATTTTTAATAACCACAGAGAGTCAGGACCTCGGTTTAACGTCTCATCCGAAGGATCCACTAGTGTGGATACTAATGTGGTTATTGTAATAGTTATCATTCTTGCCTTTATAGTTATGGACTTCCCTGTTCCCTGTAACATAATTACAATGATTATTAAAACTTTATCATTATAGTAATCGCTCTGGGTGTGAACGGGCCTTTATGTTTGATTTTCCTATGAATCATTATTTGCTTGTTAAGCTGTGTATAATATATCATAATTGTACACTTGATTTTGATGTCAAAATAATACTAATTAAGCAGTATCACACAATCAAGCGTGCCGTCTGGTTGTGATTTAGATGTTAATATACATTTTAAAGAAACTTGCTAAAACTGTGTGTGTGCGTGTGTGTGCAGATCAGACACCCACCCCCACCCGGTTTCTTAAGAATTGTGAGGAGGTGGGTCTGTTTAGTGAGCTGGCTGGCTCCTTCGAGCAAGATCTTCGCAAAACACACGAGGAGGAGGAGAGGAGAATTAAGGGCACGGTAAGATTTCATATCAAAGGTTATCAACATGTATGCTTGCTTTGACAATTGTTAGCATGGACTTGATATCTTGAATCTTGCCCTCAAAGCTTCAAGCTCTACAGACGCCTACAGAGGTTAAAGAGAGGGACGGTCCTCTTGAAATTGACTCCTCCCCTCCCGACAGCCCTGACTCCACCTCCAGCATGACAAACAGCAAAGATGCAGTTGCCATGGCAAAGGAGCCTATTGCCTTGAGGAAAGCCATGGTGAATTTGAATTTGCGACAAGGCAGATTACAGTATTTACAGTGCAGGTTTTTTTTTTTGTAGTGCAGCATATAATATTGTCATGCAACTCACTTTTACAGGATGTTCCTCCACGAACTGCAGCGAGTTCCACCCCTACACCAACCATAATGCGCCCAGGCTCGCTCCCACTTCACCAGGGATTCGACTCAATGATCCCAACTCAACCCTCTCCCACCTCTGTTATCACCAGGACCCCTCCGTCAAACAGACTCAGGTACACACTAGTTGACCTCATGTCAAAAAGGTTTTGTTTAGGATTGTCACGATTCCTCTATTAAATTCGAGTACTCGATTTAAAAAAGCTTCTTGATTGAAATTTGCCCGTGTCGATTAACTGGCAAAATACCGGAAGTGTTCCACGGATGAGAATTAGACAGTTTTCAAAGGCTGCACAATATATTAAAACCATTTAAGAATCATAATATAGCATAGGACTATTGTGAAATCACAAAGGCTGCGATTCAGTTTAATAAAAAAATGCACTGCGGGCTTCAGGGTGAAGCGCGACGCCTTTAATTACTTACATGTCTGCAGGTTACAAGTTTCTTCCGTCTCAGAGCGGCTCTGTTCACAGTAGATGCTGCTCCATACGAACTCTTTTGGGAACGGGTATAAATTCTGACGTGCTGAGTTTCATGCTAAGTGTTGCACTGTTATCAATTAAATGCATGCATTACATCAGAGGTGGCAGAGAGAACAGTGACTCACGGCCAGTTTTCAGTGAATTATTCATTCCAATGTCTGTTTAGCTTTAAAAGCGGTCATATTCTGTGATTGTTTCTGAAGAGCGCGAGCCCTGACGCATCGCGCACGCTGTGTGAAACACAGACTGAACGGAACGTCAAAACATCCCACTGCTGTTTGGCCAGATGATACGCAAACTTAAGTTTCTCGGCTGGGTAAAGCAGCAGCTTCTCGCTAGTAAAGTTTTGACGGATGCGGATTGTAATCGAGGTAAAGACGATTGCGGTGACGTAGAGTCGTACAGTAAGCACGCATGAGTCTGTAAACAAAGAGTTTGCACTGATCGCGCATTATTTATGCAGACACGTTTCAGTACATTCACGTTGTTTCCACACACATTCAGAATGTTTTTATCTATCTGTTGCTGCGTTTAGTAATTCTGAATCTCTCCGTGTACTGTAGTGGGCATATAATGCAGTCAGGTCAAGGTGGATGGTTTAGTTTTTGTTTTTTTTTGCTTTTCCATGTAGTTCTGATGAGTTTCAGAGCATCTTGACATGTCTAAAATGTAAACAAGCTGTTGCACTGTATACTGTACTCTGAATTCTGTGTTTTGTTCTGTAATATTTTTTTTTTTAATGTTTGGGTTTTTTCGAGGGTGCGATTAATCGTGTTTAACAGCCCTTATTTTAAGTAATTTTAATGGTTATTGTTTACTTAGGTCTATTTTTATGACCACAAAAAAACTATCTGATTACTCGATCAATCGTGGAACATAATCAACAGATTACTTGATTACCAAAATAATCGTTCATAACCATGCATTTTGGGTGTTCATCCACTCAAATAAATAGCTAGCCTGAGGTTTTGATAGGATGTGTTGATCCTCAGCAGTGGAGCAGATTCACTACTTTGAGTTTAAACTTTTTTTAATTTGCATGAGTCATTTCAGTGTTGTTCACACCTCTTATTCCTCACCCTGTGTGAGGAAATATGTCCTAAAATAGTACCTCTATAACTCTCTTTTTTCTAGCTCGCCGTCTGGTTCTTTTCCTATGCTGATGCAGCTTCCAAATGGTCAGACTGTTCCTCTGCTTCCCAGTCCAGGGCAGACTTCAGTCATATCGGTATGGAGGTCTCACATACGTATGATGATTATTAATCCATTTTTTTTGGTTTTAGCTTTTAAAATTTGTATAGTTTAATATTAGCTTTAAATAATTTGTTGCTAATCCTTCAATACATTTCAAGACAACTACTTCAAGACAATTGCCTTCAAATACTTCAAATTACCTGCTGTAAGCAATGTTCCTGTTTTTTTACATAACCTGTAGTTCTCTGTTTTGTGTGAAATATAAAAAAATATAAAATACAATTTTTATATATTTTGTCTTCTTTTTTCCAATAAAGTTGTAGTTATTTAGCCTAAATATTTGTGGAATAGATGTAACCTTTTTGGGGGAATGTGTGTTCTTGCACTCTGTGCTATTTTTTAGCAGGTTTTCTTGCACCATCAGCATATTAAGTTAAAAATAGTTTATGCATTCTTCTGCACCCTGTCCAGCTGTTTTTGAATGCAAGAATACAAATGATGTGAACAGCCCCAGTGAACATTACCCTAAATCATTTTAATAATACAGACAGTCTTTTTTTTTACCACTGACTTGTCAATTATGAAAATATATAGTACATCTCTACTTGTGAAAACTTTCCACAGACATACAGTATATTGCTCCTAAATAAAAATAATAGTAATTGATTTTACAGTATCTGTGATTACATTTTCAGCAGTATGAGCCTCAAAAGAAGTACACATCTTTTTTGTGTTTGTGTTTATGCTTTTGTGTTTATAGTATGTTAAACTTGTGTTGCTATGTGTGTGTGTATATATATAGCTTGCCAGATCATCAAACACAGTGCCCAATATCCCAGGGATTCCAGGCCCTCCTATTGGTGGAAGCAGCAGTGGCTCCTCCTCTCCGTCTGGATACAGTACACACTCTGATGCCAAGACGGTGAGAATGAGCACGCGTACACCCACGCTAGCACATGTAGAGTTTACATAGGGATAAATGCTTAACAAGGGGCTTATTATATAACGATTAACTTACTACACAAATGTAACACACAGGTTTTGAGCGTTAATTTACACGCTGTGGTGTTTCCTTGTGTTTGTGTATGGGATTTGTCTCCATCTAGAGGCTAAAAGCAGCACTATCTCAGCAGAGTCCTAGTGGACCAGCACCAATACAAAAAACAGATCACACTGAGACACCATCACCTGCTCAACCACAGGTGCTCACAGACACCTCATGCCTGTGTTACATATATGCTAGTATTTGCCTGTTCTTTTTGAATAGTTTGTGACGTTTGAAAATAGTTGAAAATGGGATATATCAGTAAATAAGCTCAACTGAAGCATTATGTCAGTGTACACTGTTTAAATGCTGACATATGCTTAAGTTCTCACTGTATCTGACAGCCCAAGCAATATCTTGTAGGTATCCCCTGCTCCCCCAAAAGGTGGCCGTAGACGACGGGGTGCAGATATTGAACCGGATGAGCGCAGGCGCCGTTTTCTTGAACGGAACAGAGCAGCCGCTTCCCGTTGCCGGCAAAAACGGAAAGTGTGGGTTAGTGCCCTGGAGAAGCGCGCCGAGGAGTTAGCCACTTCTAACGTCACGCTCACTGTGAGTCATACAGACAGAGTGAAAAGATACAGGAAATAAGATGATTTTATGTTGTTGACAAATCTAGAAAGGACACATTACATTGATTACAAAAGTGACAAAGACTTTTGTACTGTTAAAAATTCTATTTCAAATAATGCAGTTCTTTTCAACTTCTTATTCATCAAAGAATCCTGAAAAACCGGTTTCCACAAAGATATTAAGCAGCATTTCCAACTGTGACAATATTAAGATTGTTTCTTGAGCAGCAAATCAGCATATTAGAATGATTTCTGAAGGATCATGTGACACTGAGGACTAGAGGAATTATGTTACAAATTCACACTTTGTTGTCACAGGAAAACATTACATTTTAAAATAAAACTTTTTAATAATATATTTCACAACATCACTGTTTTTTGCTGTATTAAAAAAAATAATAAATGCAGGCTTGTTGAGCATAAGAGAGATCTCTTAAAAAACATAAAACTAACTGACCCTAAACATTGCCATTGGTTGAGTCTATGTTGCTGTTGTGTACATGTGCTTGACAGGGTGAAGTGTCCCTGTTGAGGACTGAGGTGATTCGGCTGAAGGAGCTGCTGTTGGCCCATAAGGACTGCCCTGTAACTGCCATGCAGAAAAAAGCATATCTCGGTGAGATACACCCACATATTTCCTTTATATATCATAAATCCTTCATGCCTAACATTCATCCTTCCTTCATTTCTCTCTCTTTAGCTGCAGGAGTAGATGAGAGTTCAGTGTCGGCGTTGGTGATGCCCGTGTCGGTCCCGGCTCCGGTGTCTGTTAACGGTCTGAGCGTGCGTGCGGCGGAGGCTGTCGCTGTTTTAGCGGGAATGGGCTCGGGTCAGTGGAGTAGCACGTCTGGAGATGCTTCCTCCCAATCACAGCCCACATCCAGATGATGAGCACGTCGTTCAGCCAATAGGAACTAAATATACTTTGAGTCTTTCAAAGGAGCGAATCCCCGTTTCCCCTCAAAACTCTGTCACGGTGTGTTTGTAAATCCTCTCATGTGACAAATGGGAACCAATGTTTCCGCGTTCTGACCACACCCCGTTCACAGACTCTCTCCGGGCGACAGTGGCGACATCATAGAACGCCCCTGTCAGACTGCACAGACTAGGAAGCACTGCAGTGGAAATGAATTATCTTCGGTCATCTCTAAAAAATACACCTTTACTTAAACTTGTATAGATCTTCTCACTAATGCATTCAATTGATATTTGTCTCGTTTGCAGATATTTCTAATTATTTTGCATTTTATTCAATGGTTTTTCTAATATAATGATTCGTTGCATGGTTCTGGCCACATTAGAAAGATGATTTCTACACTATGCAGATACGTTTAACGCCTTCTTTCTCAGTCTCTCTTTGTGACGCTTCTCACACATACTCACTCTCACCATTTCTCCCAGTTTCCTTTTCTCTCTCTTCCTCTCTGTTCTAATTTTATTATCGTATGTACAGTAATTTCTCTCAGGTCTGTGCTTCTGTGGCTGTTTTGGTGAAGATCGTGTCTCACATTAGTGTAACCTGGCGCCGCAGAATGGACTCGCAAAAGCTTAAGAATGGAGAGAAAATATATTTTTATATTTGAATATCGTTATCAGTTTGTCTGCATTTTGCAATATATATATATATATATATATATATATGGATGTGACGGGTAGCGTAACCATGTGGACATGTTTTAGATCAGTATGATTATGATATGCTCTGCTGAATTATAGGTATCTTTAACCAAAATACATAAATCCTTTTGCATTAGAGGTTAGACCCTAAAGTTTAAGTGCATCTGGTCTCTTATCAGGGAGCATGCACACAAAAACTCACTCGTAATGACTCGTGCTTGCATTTTGTGAATGTACAGTAGTTAACTAACCCAGCTATGAATGTGAGGGCTTGTTACAAAATGGTTGAAATGCTTTTGAGCAAAATTGAGTCTTAGAAGCTGTTATAGAAATTAAATATTTCTTTTTTTTGGGGCCTGAAAGACTCGCACTTGGCCATCCTGAATGAATTTCATCTCGAGCGCATAACTAACACGTAACCTAAGTTGTATTCCATTAAACAGTTTACGCCTGATCACGTTATCAATAGGAGAATCTGCATTAGTTTAAGCTGGGCTTATCAAAACCATTGCAGTTTTATTATTAATACAACTTTGAATATCAGTTTTTTATGGAAGCTCATTTCTGCCACATAAGAAAAAAAAAAGCTAAATTATGATTTGGTAAATCATTATTATGATATAAAAGTTGAAATTATGAGATATGAAGTCATAATTATGAGATAAATTAAAATTATTGCTTCAAATTCATAGTTCTACATTACATCATTCTAGGTTGTAAATATATTAAAATGGACAAAAAACGTCATTACTGACCTCCTCATAAATATTACTTTTAATGCCATAATTATGATTTTTTTAATTTATAATTACGATTTACTGAAGCATGATTATAATTATTTTTCTGATGTGGAGGACATTTTTGGACAAAGGCATATTTTTATTTTTATTAGATGGTATGTAGACTATTTAGGTTTTATTTGAATGATCCAACCAGCCATATCAGTTTCTGTCATTGACCTTTTTTGCATCTGGATTTATCATATTTGGATGTAGAACGTACTGCTTTCCACTGTGTGTATAACTCACTGATCCCAAATTGTGTGATGTGTCAGTGAAGCCCTAAACTAGAGCTGTAAATATGAAATGAGTGTCAGCATACAAACATTGCTTACTGTATGATATTGACTAACTGAAACGGTCCTTAAGATATGTTCAAATTAAACATTGATGGAACTTTAGCCTCTTGTACATTTAATGAGATGCTGCTTTATTGCTGCTTTTTGTCATCTTGTTTTGAAGGTGTTATATTCCTCTGTGTATATAGAAGTGGTGAGGTGGGACTTGTGTGCGTGACTTCTCTGTGTATATGGAATAGCTTGGATGGGATGGATATGCATTGTGTTTATGAGTGTGAGCAATATATTATAAACCTTGTGTAATGCCTTTAATTTGGAACGTCTAAATCATGTTTAAAATTATATTTATACAAGTAGTACATGTTTCTGAATTAATATTTTGTCCATCAACTTAATCCTAACCCCACCCTTATCTCTATAGTCAAAATCTACCATAAACTATAAAATTAGAGGACACTGGTTGGTTATTTGGATTGTTTTTCCAGAAAACTGTATAAAACGTTAACAGTAACTTTAATGTTAAAAGAATGTGAAAATGATATGGTAAAAATAATGTTAAAGGGTTAGTTCACCCAAAAATGAAAATTCTGTCAGTAATTACTCACCCTCATGTTGTTCCAACCCCATACGACTTTTGTTCATCTTCGGAACACAAATTAAGATATTTTTTTATTAAATCTGAGAGCTCTCACTACTCCATATGTTCTATGTTATTGAAACTTGCCGGCCCAGAAAAGTTAGAAAAAACATTGTTAAAATAGTCCAAGTGACTACAGTGGCTCAACCATAAGTTTATCAAGCGACGATAATACTTTTTGTGCGCAAAACAAACAAAAATAACGACTTTGTACGAAAAACTTCGGTGAGTAATTACTGACAGATTTTTCATTTTTGGGTGAACTAACCATTTAAGGGTGAGTAAATAAGTCTGTAATAGCTCTAATTGGACTTGTCATGCACTTCTACAGTAAAATACGGTTAAATGTACAGGTTTTGGATTTAAGAACAAGTCATTTGCAGAACATAAGAACAAGTCTTATAATTTATAGGGGGAAAAAAACAAATTGACATTCACAGATTTCCCTGTGTGAAACTTTTTTTGTTTAAAGAATTCAGTTTCTTAGTTTTTTGTTTGGTTATCAGTTATGTACATTAGGGTTTTATTTCACATCCTGTTACATTTTTGTTTATTGCATTATTTTAGTGTTGTGTGTTCCATGATGTTTTTTTATTTATTTATTTGTGTGTACAACACCATGCACCTTTTATATATTATTATTTGACTCTGCTTGTGGAAAAGATGTGATGAACTTTGATTCTTTACCAATAGTGTTTTTATGGTTGTCAATGTTATAAAGGTACAAACCAGATTTTAGTATATTAACATTATACCAGTTAAAGAAATGTTATTTTTACCGTAAATTTTAAGTGTTTACCATAAATTTCACTGATTTATCCTACAGTGTATATTAAAGGGATAGTTCACCCAAAAATGTTGAACACAAAAGAAGATATTTTAAAGAATGTCAGTAACCAGACAGTTGACGGCACCCATTGACCTCCATAGTAGGAAAAAAAAACTATGGGTGCCATCACTCATTAGTCATTACTATCCCTTTAAACAAGTAAAAAAAAAAGTAAAACATGATCCAGTAGTAGGCTACCCTGTAGGCTGAATCAGGGTAAAGAAATAGTTAACCCAGAAATCAAATTATGCTATTATTTATTCACCCTTATGTCGTTTATAATCTATATAAACTATTTTTTTGATAGTTTTTTTTTATTACAACTAGCCTTGTAAGGAAAAGGTCTGCGTGAAGCTACTTCAAAATGTCTCCTTTTGGCTTTTGTGCATCTCAAAAGAAACTACCTACGGATTTAGAAAGACACAAATGAGTAAATAACGACAGAATTTTCATTTTGGTGTAAACCCTTTCTTTAACCATTAGTTGTTCAAGTGAGTGCATTAGATAAAGATTCTCCCTCACCACAGCAGAGGGAGCAAAATCGCCACGGCTTCTGACCACAGGCTCAGACTCCTCATCCCGAGCCTTGGTCATGTGACTCTTCCCATCGGTTGGGATTTCTCTCTCGGCATGGCGGAGATGATGGAGCTCGGTCTGCTGTCTAATACCATTTGTTATTCACTGTGAGGAGGACACGGGCATTTTTGTTGTCGGTAAACCTTTTTGCGCCGTTCTTTCCCCCGGTTTGTGGCCATAATGGCGGAGCGCGGTGTGGATGTGTCCGCTCTCCCCCAAGAGGTCCGGGAGCAGCTCGCTGAGCTGGACCTGGAGCTGTCGGAGGGTAAGCCTTTAAACAACAAGGGCTTTTCCTCTCTTGTTTGAATGCGTGCGTTTGGATAGATATGTGTTGATTTGACAGGCTCAGTCGTGCATCCTCAATAACAGCATCCACACACAGGTTCCGTGCTGATGATGCTTCAATGTCGCCGCCGCTCGCGGAAACATACTGACCTCTTTTTCGGCATCTCACTGGTTCAACAATTGTAAACGCCTGTTCAGCTTCGTTTTGCTCGTTAAATGTCCTGACATTGGTCTAATATGTTTCCTTATTTACTTTTATGTTGTGCAAAACAAAAACACCGAGTCTGTGAAGGGCTGGATGTATTTAGCTATGTGATTATTTACAGGCCATGGATATTCTGCATGTGTCCTCCTCATATTTACAGACTTCATCAACTAGTAGTATTCAGTGTCAGACTGTCAGTTGTATAACTTTGATCTTTACTGTCATTGGAATTAATATTCATATGTATAATAGTTTTAAAACAATAGCTTCAGTATTACAATATAGGCTAATAGGTATTCTCTTTATGGTCAATATATATTGGGTAAACTAACGTTTATTTTAATGGTCGATGCTTTATTAAAGAGTGTAGGCTATGCTTGACACACTGACAGTGCTATTAATAGACCTAAACTCATTTGTCCTCCATAAACAATCAACACTCATAGGCTATAAGATACAATGAGAGGTCAGGTATGGCAAGCTATTTAAACACTTACTAACAAGGTAATAATTATTAATTCCATGGTATTCAATTATTTATAAATAATCTTTATGAAATAAATGCAGGGTAAACAGAAGTGGACTGTAAACATTCCAACCACAGACCACCATAGAAATCACTGACAAAAACTTGCAGTTTATATCCAGTAAGTACAATGTCTAAAAAATAGTCAGTTGCAAATTTGACAAAGATACTAATCACTACTGAATTAATTGTAATAAATAGTATCATAAAAATAGAAACTTGTTCTAAGGAATAAATGTTTAAACAGCTTGCCATAGGACATGTAAATCGCTCACTCAAACAATGGAACTTGGCATAAAGAGGGGCCTGGTGTCACCTGTGAAACTTTTGTCTGGGCCTTTAAATGAATAGCATCAATATAATGCAGTATATCCATGTGTATGAAAATGATATAAATAAAATATTACTCTTTATTTAACATTTCAAATGGTTTACAGCATGAATGGTGTGTCTAAACCTCTGCTAATCAGAAATACATTGAAGAATTATAACAGATATGAGCGTGTGGTTGTTTACATTTTAGTGTCATTGTGATTCACTGCAGAAGGGGCTCGGTTTGTTTGTGTGTGTGTGTGTGTGTGTGTGTTTAGTCATCCTTATGTGTTATATAAGCCTTTCAGCAGTGGTGTGTGAAAGATTCAGAAGAGCAAAATGATATCTTAAACTGCATTACCCAAATATAAAAAGAGATTCTCATTAATCTCTGCACCAGAGACTTGTTTGGCATAACAGCTGATCTGCCATCAGTGCAGCCTGGATTCATTCTCAGTATGTCTCCCACACAGCAAATCAAGAGAGCACCTGGAGGCAGATTACAAATGATGGACTAGTTTGCTTTTGGCTTCACTTACTATTGTTGGTGTGTTTTTTGGATTTCATGGCAGTTGTGAACATCATCTTGTGTCCTTGCTGGTGCAATTTTGCAAACACACACCCACTTTATTCCTCCTTTCTGTCCTATTATATATTATGTTTATGTATGTTATGCTAAGACTGCGTATCTGTTTCTCAAAGCCCACAATGCGGTCCTGGCACAATTCACAGTCCCCACCTACAGTCTTCACTTTTTGGCTCTTAGACAGGAGATGCCTGCTGCAGCCCTTTGAATACAGTTAAATTGACTTATTCATTAAGTAGCGAGGTTTGCTTTAGACTAGAGAAATGTTTGTCATGTATATGAGCATGTGTTTAGCGTCACGCCCATATCTTATGTCCTTTGCACTGAAGACTTTATAGGTGACAGCACAAAGAAAATGTCACAATGAAAGACTCTTTATGTCAAAATGTGAAGGACCAGTGGGAGTAGTAAAAACCTCTTTAGTGATGACTACCTCCAGCTCACTTCTGCTGATGATTTTTGTTTGAGTTCAGACATAGTAGAAGTATGGCCATAGACGATAGTGTATAGAGCTGCTGTTATTTATATCCTCCTGAGATGGCAGGCTTTTTATTGTTTTAATAGCAGAATAATGTGTTATGACAATATTAACACATTTGCATGAATAGTAACAGTTTTTACTATACTGTAAAACATGATTGGATATGTTGGAATCAAAATATGATTTGGATCAGGGTTAACTAAAACTAAAGCTAAAAAACTTTTACAATACTTGAAATAAAATAAAATACACCGGTATAAAAAAATTGACTTTTATTTCAGCTAGTAGCTAAGATAATAACTTCTCATTTTCTTTTAGTTTAACTTGAAGTACTAAATTAACTAAAACTAAATAAAAGTTAAATAAAAATGAATAAGAATGACATGGATTTATAAAAAACTAATAAAAATGAAAAAATACACAACAAAATTATTAAAACTTGAACTAAAATGAAAATAAAAAATGGCACATATAATAAAGACTAATCTAAAATATTAATAACAAATAAAATAGTATATAAATGATACTAAAGTAACACTTTTTTGGACATATACCACACAGGTGAAAAAGGATGGTATGAATCATTAATTTATACAGTATAATTTGGGGAAGTGCATTTAATGCCCATTTTACTTCTGTAAAGTGACATATTTCAAAGTGAGATATAGGAGGATATTCAATGACAAATTGCAGTAAAAATATTATTTAATTAAAAAAATCTTTTGTAAAGAAATCCTAATAGCCTTAATATTTAATTAAAATATCCTTACATATATTTGCATACTTTAAAAAATATGTTTAAAAAAATTTTTATTCTTCCTGGGCCAGCAGAAAAATATCCTTATTACAAATTAAGGCAGATACTCTACTTATATATTATAAATATTAAAGCAATAAATCACATGCATATCTGTTTACAGTTTACAGAGTCTACAGAGACATCAGCACATATTCGTTATTTGTAATGAACGTGTGTTGTGAATGAAAGAGTTTGTCTCTCTGTGTGTGTGTGTGTGTGTGCCTTTGTGACAGAGGAAGAGGGGTGGAGATAGGAGGTTTTGACACACTCACACACACAATGAGCACCATTGAAAGCATCAGGGCTGAGCAGTCGTGATCTCTGCTTCAATTCCCAGCACATACTCAGACGCTTTTATGCACTTAAGCTGATCAAATGAGCTGTGTGTGTGTCTGTGTGTGGAAATCCTCTTCCATAGCTAGTCAGCATATACTTAAACTAAAGAGGCTCGGACTAACTGTATAATGTCTGATTGTGTGCATCTGTTCAGGTAACCTCAGTAGCTTAAACACCCACTGTGACTGTAGGAGGACAGGCAGGTTTTCTGAGTTGTAAAGAAAAAGTGAGAGAGAGAGAGAGAGAGAGAGAGAGAGAGAGAGAGAGAGAGAGACAGAGTGGGAGAGAGAGACCTAGGGACAAAACAGAAAGAGAGAGATTACTTAAATCTAGGTCACAGAGCACCGGGAAGCAAATACACTCAGTTACCCATGATTCACAGCAAGCTTTCTAACATGTTGCGCTGTCTCTCCCACTATCTTCTCTCTCTTTTTTCCTCTTTCCCCACTATCTTTATCCCATCCTTTAAAAAACTCCTGGTTTGCCTAGCTAGTTCGCTCTCAAGCGCACACCACACAGGACATGTTAATAGTTCATATCTTTTGCAATGCTTGCGATATATGGGTTCCTCACTAACTGAATTATTCACCAGTCTGACTCGAAAAAGAAGAGATGCACACTTTACACACACTATATTCATTCAGAGAGCAGAGTTTTTCCAAACTGCCAGTTGGAGCTTAAATATCTCTCTCATAACACTTGCCACTCAGGTAACACTTAACTAGAGCTTACGTCCCTGCTATTCTCGGCTATGTTATTGTATGTTTGAAAGTTTCAGAATTGAAGTTGGACTCTTGATGTGGTCTGAAATCCTAAGTAACAAAAAGTACCATATTTTTGGATAATATTTATATATATGTAAATACCTTATATTCATGGTGCATACCAAAGATCTGAGATCTGCTAAAGGACTGGACGTAAATGTAAAGTGGATGTTAATAACAAGATGTTAGTAGCAAGCTGTCTTGAGTAATGACAAAAACAGTTGAATGGCACAGACATTTTTAAAGAGGTCCTATAATGCCCTTTTCACAAGATGTAAAATAAGTCTCTGATGTCCCCAGAGTGTGTATGTGAAGTTTTAGCTCAAAATACCCCAAAGATATTTTATTATAGCATGTTAAAATTGTCACTTTTTGAGGGTGAACAAAAACACGCTGTTTTTGTGTGTGTCCCTTTAAATGCAAATGAGCTGCTGCTTCTGGCACAGAGGGCGGAGCTTCAAGAGCTCATGTGTTAGCAGCTCCGATTACCTCACACAGACATGCACTGGAAATGTAAAAATTAGTCTTTTATGTTCAAACCGGAGTCGGACAAAGATGGAGAGACTCAAGAAGAATTGACAACATGTACAATGCAACAGGACATTTCTGAATGGTTAGTTGATGAATTTATGTAGCTGATGTGGAGTTAACTATCTTCTAGTCATTGATTAGCATATTCTGTCATGATAATCTATGAATTGCGTTTCGGGGCGGGGTTTATGTAAATGTTAGGGTCAGTGATGTCACTAAACCATGACGAAGCTCATTGTAGTCGCTACCAGCCGTTTGTTGTAATCCTTAAAAAGCGATTTCTGTAAAAGAAAATATCTCCCTTTGCTTTGAACTTTTGAGTGTTGTAACTTTGCAGATGTTGTTTATGCTAAAACAGCAACATAACACACTAAAATAAAAATAAAACAGTGAAATCATAATTAACCACCATTTAAGGTAACTCTATTGGCCCCATGAGTACTAAGGTTTGTTAGCACAAATGCAACGCAGGAGTGTACATTTGTATTTGCGTAAACTGTTTCTGGTCTTACACTCGCACAGCAATTTTGAACGTTCCTGTACTTTTATTGTGGCTAAAATGATTTCTCCAAATATGCATAAATAATGTCTTATAATCTGAGTAGGCTTTTGTGTTGTTTTGGTATGTATATTTGTGTGGGTTTTATTTAGAGTCATAGTTGCTATGGTAACAGGTGAGTTTGCCTTAGGCTGTTCTCATTCATAACAAATATAGTTAAAAGCATTAAGAAGCACATATGCCACAAGAACAGCTAAAAACCCAACAGCATGACATAAAACCTTATAACCATACATTACTCACACCGCACAGTATGACTTTTATTGGAGGGCTGCTGAAAGGTGAAATGTGTAATGTTATTTTAATTGTAAAAATAGCTGAAGACAGGCTGAATGGTGCTTTCCTGCACAAATCTTGCTGCCACAATGATAGAGGGTTGTGATTGTTTGCTAGAGTGTTACTATGTGGTTGAAAAGGTGTTGAATGTTTTTTGTATTGTTGTTAGGTGGTTATTCTGGGCGGTGGCTAGGTGGTTGCTTACTGGCCCAAGTCGAGTCTTTATGATAATATGGTCCCTATATGGTTCCTTCAGCTGTGGGAATATTTTTTGCCTGTTTTATTATCTGCCAGGAAACAGTGACAGCTCACCTCTACTCAACAAGCCAACTGATTTGTGGTAATATTCATGTTCAAAGCATAAACAATGTGCCAAAATGTAATTTTGTAAGTTTTGGGGTTAAAAAATAAAAAAAACCTGTAAAGAATTTCCAAGTCACATTGTCCCATCCTAAAAGTAGACTTCGTTTCCCTTATTTATTCTTGCTCATGGTAAACCACACTGTAAACACAGGTCAGATCATTCTATATACTGTATTGCAAAGTGAATTAGGAAGGTTACACCTGACAAGGCATGTTCCCAGGTGTGTGAAGTGGTAATCTGAGTCTTGTTGTCACCTGCATGCACACACCCTGGTAACCCTGACTTTACTGTTTCCATTAGCAAGTTTTCAAAGCCGGTTTGTGGATCTGGTTGTATAATGTAGAAAGAGGCATGAACAGATAAGAATGAACTGAACTCCCTGTTGTGTCTTTTTCTCTGTCACTCTCTGTCTGTCTGTCTGTGTTTCTCTCTGTCTCTCACAGTCTGTTTTTATGTTCTCAGCAGAACAGGAAACCATGTCATAGGGTAGAAGATTTAGCACTGGAGAACATGACATCATCCAGAGGGAAAGGAAATGTGTGTGTGTGTGTGTGTGTGTGTGTGTGTGTGTGTTGGATGAGAATGTTGGATGTGGACAAAAGAACATGAAAGAAGGGCAATGAAATTCAACTTCAAGACAGTGTGATACAGTGTTGGCAGTTGCTGAATGGTGAGTCACCATCTGGTGGTGGCTAACCAAGGCTGTGTGTGTCTGTGTGTGTGTGTGTGTGTGTGTGTGTTTGTGTGTGTGTGTAGACACAATGGAGAGATAGCCGTATTGTGTCTTGAGTGAAAGTCATTGTGTGAGCTCTGTTGTGTCATAGTGTTTCAGGGCCAGTGATGCAGCACACAAGAGGGAGGGTGGATATGGGTAGTTAATGCTTTTCAAAGGAACAAGACTCTCAGAGACAAGTTCTCTGTCAATAAAAAAGAACTTTAATATGTTTCTCCATCTCTTTCTCTTTCCATACATACACTCTACTCACTCAGACACAGATCTAAGATCTTTCCCACAGTCTGAGCAGCTGGTGTGCGTGTCTGTTGTACAGAAATTCACTGAGAGACTAGGCGGTTCAGTCTCTATTGTATTTATCTTTACAGAAAATGCTTAATGTGAAACCATTAAAATCAACATAATTTTTGCAACATTGAAGAATATATATACAAACTACCATTCAAAAGTTTGAGGTCAGTAAAATACTTTTATTCAGGACACTAAGTTAAGTCTATTTTAAATAAATGCTGTTTTTTTTTTACATTTCTATTTATCAAAGAATCTTTAAATAAAAATAACAAACTCTTCCTCATTCCATAAAAATCTTCACAATTTTTTTTAAAGCAACTGGTTTCAACATTGATGAAAATAGGGAATGTTTCTTTAAAAAAGTACATTTTACAAATTACATTTTAAAGTAGGAAATAAAAATATTTCCCAATATTCAAATGTATTTTGAGCAAAAAAATGCAGCGTGGGTAAGCATAAGAGACTTCTTTCAAAAACAACTTCTTTCAAAATCTTACTGACACCAAACATTTGAATGTTAGTGTTCATATATATATTTTATTTATTTGCTAAAGCCATTTTTTAGTTAAATTGCCACCCCCAGAATGAAAAATAAATGTATTTTATTGATTTGTAATTTTCATTTTGTATCAAAGGTTGTTTTCATTTAAAAAAGTGAAAACATAATCAAAATCAACCACCCCTCTAAGGTAACTCTATTGCCCCCATGCTGTTTACCATGCTGTCATTTAGGTTACTTGTAGGTTACCAGAGAGAGACACTGTTTTATATGCTTTCTAATATTGATAATCACAGTCAAACAATAACACTCATGTAGCTTTATCTCTTAAAGGAGTGAGGTCCTCCTCCACCACCTTTCTCCCAGGGCCAAAAACAAACAAACAATATGTTTCTGTCTGTTTGTGCATGCGTGCCAGTAGTTGTTTATGTATGCATAAACTAAATGAAAAATTACAGGGACAAACAGCTTTACTGAAAAAAGGTCACTTGTCATAGGACTTTTGCCCATAATGCCTTGCAAATACAAGATTACAGAGCTATCATGATTAAATCGATTTTCAAACCCTCTTGATGTTCGGTTATCAGCTCAATTCAGATGGCCGGAACACAATACACGATTTTTGCCCTGATTTGCAGGCTGGATGAGTTGAAAATAGTTTCCGAAAATCTGCACCAGTGATGATGGCTAATGTTTTAAAATCTGTTCAGATTGGTTGGATTACAGAGTGGATTAATGACATTGATTCTAGTTCAAATAAGATTTGGATCTCAGGCCAGTACAGTTTGGGTTGTAGTCCTGGAATAATTTACCCTTTTTCAGGACAGGTTTGCAAGACAAGGGTTAAAACAAGGGTTTGCAAATGAAATTCAGAATTAAGGTTACATTTTGGCTATAATGTCTGGATTATATGTTAAGATTATTGTACAGATTACATGCAGGTTATGTGTTTTTTTTTCTGGTAATTTTACTATATTACTTCAAAAGGAACAGTAATAAAATTCCAAATTTAGAATTATGAATATGATTTTTGGAAGTAAGATTTTGAGGTAGTATTGTATAAATGTTACAGGTTTACAGTTGCATGGACTGACAGTGTCAAACTCTAGGCCATGCCGTGTATGAGTGAGTGATCAAGGATAAAAGTAGATTTCTGCCTTAGTCTGTTGCCACTCACTTCACATTATCATCACTCCCCCAACAACCAATCACAATCCATCCGAGCCTCAGTGTGGACTGGACCACCTTAGGCCACCAATAAAACCGTCTAGTTTGCGGTTGAATTAGAAGAGCGCATTTATTTGTGCCATTTATTGCAGTCCAAAACATTCTTTCTGAATAACACTCAAAGAATCATATACAAAATGAACACATATACATAACCCCCTTCATAGCTAGTGATAGAACAGTCTGTTGAAGCTAAAAATATCCCATAGTACAGCTGGGTTCGGTCCTCATGCATTACTTATGGGAGTTGACTCTTCCTTCTCTATTTTCCATTTTTCTTTTAATGTGGAAAATGCTCTTGAAAGAATGGTTTGTTTATTGGCCTCTCCTTATGAATCCATGCTGTTTGCTGTCAACGTTTAAGCGTAATGGCCAATCTGATTTCTATGGGATAATAAATATTTTCATGTTATCTCTTTTGAAATCTTTCCCCTTTAGGGGATGTGTTGAAATGAGCTTGAGCACGTATCATAACCAAAGCTCTCTCCATCCTGCATAATCCCACTAGATTACACATTCTGCTCTCTTTCACACTCACAAGCAGAATCCAGCATTAAATCGCACAAATCAACTTGGCTGTCAGAATGTAAGAATGTGATGATCTTTTAAGATTTGGGTGTTTGGGTTTTTCTAAACAACTGTTCCTCCTTCATCAACTCCAATAATGCGTTCCTATTATACTTCATATATATTATTTAGCATTATCATTAATAAGTTTGGGATTGGTTTTTGAGGGTTTGGTGTCAAAGCATGTTTTCTTATGCTTACCAAGACAGTAAAATCTGAAAAATTGTGAAGTATTATTACAATTTAAAATAATTATTTTAAATTTTATGCAAAATTAAAATATTTCCATTGCTTGGATGTTTTGTGATCTAATGCAGTGTCATTCAAATTTGACTTTTTTGGGGGGCCACTGTATGTTGAAAATTACAATGAAAAGAAAAAAAAGATCAACTGCAATGATAAACCACAATCCATCTGCCATTTGAAACAAAAAATTTACCCCAAAACGAAACGTGTTGAATTCATGCTGTTCGTATTTTTAACTGGTAATAACATTATCTCTCTTTTTTTAGGTGACATCACACAAAAAGGATACGAGAAGAAGAGGGCCAAAGTTTTAGCACCCTACTTAACACAAATACAAAGTAAGAACTACAAAAAATATATCCCTGCTTTTTCACCCTCCTCCCTCCATCTCCTTTTCTGCCATACTATCTCTCTCTCCTTTTTTTACTTGGTTGTCCACTGACTCATTTGATAATGTGGTTATGAAACATCTTCCCAGGCTGTTCCTCTTGAGGTTGAAGGGGTTCCATCCAAAGTCCCTCTGCACTGCCTTCTACTGCTCAAATATAGGACTGCAGCATGAAACATTATTTTATTGTCAGTCTCTGTTGTGAGATAGAAATTTTGTTTTATTCTGGAGATATTTGAGATAACCACAGTTCTTGGCATTAATATTTCCCATTTTATGTAGTCATTGACTGGATCTGCCAGTTTTAAAGAAGTTCACTCTTATTATCTCTACAGACTTGGCTCCGCCTCCGGCATATGATGCACAGTCCCCTGGTCCAAGCTCCGCCTCCGCCTCCGCACCTGAACCTGAACCTGAACCTGAACCTGAACCTGAACCTGGCCCGTCAAACTCATCCTCTTCCTCTTCACGCCACCGGCGCACACGGCGACCACACCGAAGCAGCGGGACTAGAGATGAACGCTACAGATCAGGTTAGAACAGCTTGCCATTGACAACATATACAACTTTTTTTCTGTTACATTTTATTTATCGGTTATTACAATGCAAGCCAGAGTTTGACTCTTTTTTTGGGGGGCACTAAACAAAATAGCAAAAATAATGATATACAGCCCAAGGCTTACCTATAAACGTACTACTTATAGTGGTCTTTGCACTTTAAACTGGGATAGGAGAACGTTTTTCAACACTGAACAAACGACACACTTCACCTATAAAATTTTGTTATATAATTCTATTTAGCTGTATATAGACTAGACTTTACTTGAGATTTATGGGGTGTGAGGTTTACAGAGTGCCTGCAGATGGTAATATTTGCCTGTTCTCTGACCACATCCTTGTAAGAACTGTTTAGTCATCTGCCATGGCAGTCGCAGTTGGACAAAATGGTTGCCTAGATGAAATAGGTCACTGTGGATTTCTGGTGCTTTGTGGCAATAGAAAGATAGTAGCTTGCTTATTTGATCGTGTAGGCTGTTTGTTCAGTTGCTCGCCACAGACGTGTATAAATATTTTACTGTCCTACTGTTGTCATAGAGCATGTTCATGACCTTGTTGTGTAATTAGTACCAACACTCTGATGGGTGACAGCCTATTGGTTAAGAAGCTTTGCTGATAATACAAAAGTTACTGATTTGAATCGAGATAAAGGCAGACAGTTAATGAGATTCAAATCAGTCTTGTACTCTGGAACAAAGCATTTAGCCTCAGGATGTTCAAGGTTGACTTTACCTGTCACTTTGGATAAAATCATCTACTGAGACATCTTCTAACATCACACTAAGTGCAGATGTCCTAGGAACAAAACTGCCTCTTACAAGTTTTTTTTTTGTCTGTCTCAGATATCCACACTGAGGCAGTTCAGGCAGCATTGGCCAAGCATAAAGAGGAAAAGATGGCGCTGCCCATGCCAACCAAACGTCGGTCCGCATATGTACAGTCACCAATTGACAACTGCACCCCACCAGGTAATGTATACAAGCGCCAAATAAAGAAATGAAGATATATATTATCTTATATTTAATAGATAATAATAGTTAATCATGATTCTAGTTCTTCTCAGTAAAACCCTGACAGCGTCAAATCCTTATCCTTATATACACTACCGTTCAAAAGTTTGGGGTCGGTACGATTTTAAATACTTTTAAAAGAATTCTCTTCTGCTAACCATGGCTGCGCTTATTTGATTAAAAATACAACAAAAATCAGTTATAGTATTAAATATTATTCCAGTGTAAATCATCTGTTTTCTGTGTGAATATATAGTAAAGTGTAATTTATTCCTGTGATCAAAGCTGAATTTTCAGCATCACCAGTGTCAGTGTCTTCAGTGTCAAATGATCCTTCACAAATCAGTATAATATGAGGATTTGATGCTCAAGAAACATTTATATTATTATCAATGTTGAAACAGTTGTTGGTCTGTCAGTTGTACAGTTTTTTTTTTTTTTTTTGGATTCTTTGATGAATAGGAAGTTCAAAAGAACAGCATTTGTTTGAAATAGAATCTTTTGTAACATTATAAATGTCTTTACTGTCCTTGATAAATAAAAGTATTGATTTCTTTCCTCCAAAAAATAAAAATAAAATTCTCACTGACCCCAAACTTTTGAACGGTAGTGTATGTATTTTATATAATAATCATGCAGGAAAGATTACACCCATTATTTAATTTTTAATTAAATACGATTTTTTTCTTTTCTTTTGTATTTTTCAGTTTTTTAACATTTATTTATCTACATTTAAATGTAATTATGTATATCTCATAAATAAGTTTATCTAATTTTTATATCTTATAAATTATTATAATTTTAGTTCATTTTTAATTCTTTAACCAATATTAATTCAATATATATAATGTATGTTCTTCAGCAAAAAACATGTGTGGTAACAATTGGTAGCAAGAATTATGAAATGTAGCAAATATTGATATATTGCTTGGATCATTTAAAAAAAATGCTTCAATAGTTCTTACCTTTATTCTTCTTGTACTTATTCTATCATTTTCTTCCTTGTCTTTTAATTTCTCTTTCTCTCTGTCAGACTCCTCATCTTCCTCTGACGATGAGGCCGTGTCAAGTGAAAGTGCAGGGCCTCAGCAGTCTCCAGATACCTGGATTAATAGCTCTCTGCACGGCTCCTCCACCTCCTCCTCTGCCTCCTCCACTCTCTCACATGGGGAGTCTCGGCCCACCCAGGCCCCTCAGCCTCAGTCTCAGCAGGTCCCACCTCCACCCGCACCTGCCCACCCACCCCACTCCCACTCCCAGCCCTCCGCCCTGGCCGAGGCCCTCGCTCAGGCACGCATCGGTGAGTCACCATTACCCCACACACTTTGTGTCATTGTAAATACACTTTAGATTTTACCATTTGGTTTGAAGTAATTTTAGTAGCTTAACCTTGTTTTCACTGCTTCATTATTTCTATTTTTTCTTCTGCCCAATGTTTATTTTCTGTTCATTTATATCTTTTTGACTGTCAGTGAGAAGAATAGGAAGAGGTAAAGTCAAGTGTTAGAAATCTTTCACCTTGTCCTGTGTGTTTAAGATTTGTTGTGAGTTACGAATATTATCTACCCCTCCACACGCTCCACCCTTAAGCCTCTGCCCCACCTGTGTGTTTAAAGCCTATGAATGATTGGTCTGTCCATAGGAGCTGATGAAAAATTAATAAAGGTTCTCAGAAATCTGGTTGAGCTTGTTATGTGGTTCAGGACTAATCATCTCAGGACTTCATACACACTTGATCCAAGACTGTACTTATTCAGAGAGTGTGCTTTTCCTGCACATGACATACCCTGAGTGTGTGTGAAATTGTTAAGAGATGTAGACAGTAGCTGTAGACGACAGCATGCAGACTGTGGGGTTAGCCAAGAGGAACTAATGAACTCATGTTTGCATTAGACTTGAAACAGAATATTCTGTAGGCAATGATGTTATATTTTTGGTTAATGATATGTTTCTCTGCCCTCACAGCCTTGGCCTACAGAGGCAGAGAAAGTTATTTCATTTTGATGAAAGATTATGAAAACAATGATGTACGATGATGATGAGACACAGTAAAACCAGAGACAGTTATGTAAGATGTAACATACAGTCAGTCGATCATTAAGGCAAAATAAACCTCGACAGGGTGATCAATATTGTATCACCCTGAAGAGGTTCATTTTGGGATAATGAGCGAGTGACTGTATCTCATAAATGACACGTCTACTTAGCAAATAAATAAATCAAATAACATTAAATATTAATTTGAGTTTACGTTACTTCATAATGTGAGAAGAAAGAGACTGCAGAGTGATATGAGAGTTTTTGAAAGAAGTATCTTGCTCACCAAGGATGGATGTATTTAATCAAAAATACAGTAAAATAGTTATATTGTGCTTAAATTAGAACTTAAAATATATGTGTTCTATTTTAATTTATTATAAAATATAATGTATTCCTGTTATAGCAAAGCTGTATTTTCAGCATCATTACTCTAGTCTTCAGTGTTACATGATTTTTCAGAAATCATTCTAATATGCTGTTTTTTTTAAAATATGTATTTCTTATTATTGTCAGTGTTGAAAACATCTGTGCTGCTTAATATTTGCTGAATAAAAGTATGTATTTATATACAGGTATATACAGTATGCATGTATGTATGTGTATATGTATGTGTGTGTGTGTTTGTGTGTGTCTTACTGATCCACAATTTTTAACGGAAGTGTATGTAGGAAATTGTATAGAAATATTTGAACATAGAATGATTAATAAATCAGAATTAAGTATTTTAGAAATCCATAAAATAATAGCAAAGTAAATACTAATAAGTAAATAGTTTGATTTCATGTTACATTCAAATATCTTTGGCCTTATCACTATTTTACGCAATTGAAGGAAGCATATACTGAAAGCAGTCCTGAATAGACATAGTTTTACACAGACTCTTAAAGGAATAGTTCACTATTGGATTGAAAAATCAATCTTTCTTCGTAAGAAAGAAAGGTGAGCTTTTCCTTTATGAGCAAGGGTAAAATATCTTTAAAACTTTGAGGGTTGATTATGAGTGAGTAATAAGTGTTATTTTGACCAGATCCAGGAGGAGGAGTCGGGCCTCCTGATGTGCCATCCCAAGCTCAGGCCAGAGGCTCTCGTGTGGATCTGCCTCCCAATGCCGCGGTGCGAGGCATGAGTCGAGGACAGAGCCGGTCCAGCATGATGGAGACAGCAGACGGTACTGAGTGTGTGCGTGCGTGTGTGTGTGTGTGTGTGTGTGTGTGTGTAGAGGGGAAAGAAAGAGTAAAAGAAAGAGAGATAAAAAGAGAAACATGTATTTGTTGTGTGCTGCATTAGACATACATACTCTGAAAATGTATGTAAATCTTTAAGCGCCTTTTCATAACTTTCTTCTCATGTCTCTCAGAACTTTGTGTTAACATTTCAGTAGAGACATTTCAATAAGTCTTTATGAATGCTGTGTTTGATTGCTTCGTTAATCGCATCCCATTTCTTTTTTCTTTTCCACCTTTTATCCACTTGTGTCATGTTGCTTTTCTCTGTCAGTGAGAAGAATAGGCAGAGGTAATGATTGGTCTACTCTAGACATGTCCCGTAGGTCGACTTTAAAGCTGTGTGTTTGTGTTTGTATACTGTATATGTGTTACACACAGATAGTGTGAACCAGAGTGAAACACTGTACTTTTTTAGGAAATAAATAGATAATAGTAGATCACTCATCCCTCCATCTCTGCTTACATGCGTTTTTTACTCAGTCCTGATCCTTCATAACACATTAGGGCTGCTTTACAGGTGTACCAGTGATATTTAAAGGAATAGTGTAAATCATTTACTCAACCTCATGTCATTCCAGTTGGTCACTCTCTTCCATGCAGTATAATAAATAAGGACTGAAGATTCAGAAAGATGCAAAAGCACCACATATGTATGATAAAAAGTCAATATGACTGTAGCACTAAATTCCAAAGTCTTTAATTTTTTTTTTATATTGAATAAATACAAATATATCAGTATAAAGAAGTAATAATACACTACCATTCAAAAGTGTGGGGTCATTAAGATTTATCTGATTAAGTAAAATCAGTAAAACAGCAAGATTGTAAGATATTTTACCAAATAATTAGTGTGATAATTTTCCTCATTACTCCCGTCTTCAGTGTCCCTTCAGCAATTATCCTAATATGCTGGTTTGGTGCTCAAGAAACATTTCTTATTATTAAATGTTGAAAATAGTTTCTAGATTTATTTTTTATTTTTTTGCATCCTTGCTGATTAAAACTATTGATTTCTTTAAAAAAAAAAATCTCAGTGACACCAAACATTTGAATAGTAGTGTATATATAATTTCAATAATAAGTTTATAATTTTACATAATAATAATAAGTTTAATTTGATCTATAAGCCATTGTATATCAGGATATCTTTGGACCAGGACTGATAAATACCACTGTAGGAGAGTATAAAACATGTATATACATGTACACATGTAGTCTAGTTGTGATTTTACGAATTCCCAGTTCAGTTGAAAGTGTGCAGGAGTGTGTCTTTGTTCGTCTGTCTCATCCCACCCTACCTGACCCCAATCCTGGTGTAGGTGTTCCGGTGTCCAGTCGTGTGTCCACAAAGATCCAGCAGCTGCTAAACACGCTAAAACGACCAAAACGCCCGCCACTCAGTGAGTTCTTCATGGATGACCAAGAGGAGATCGTGGAAGGTACTCCAGGATAAATTCAGTCCTCGCCATTTCTCAGACACACTCTGAAAGAATGGTGCATTAATGTAGATCAACGTGTTTCTTCCTCCTCAGTTCCTCAGGCAGATCCTAACACCCCTAGGCCAGAAGGCCGGCAGATAATCCCAGTGAAGGGGGAACCGTTGGGTGTGGTCAGTAACTGGCCTCCTGCTCTTCAGGCAGCATTAACTCGATGGGGTGCCACACAGGGCAAAAGCCCTGCCCTCACAGCTCTGGATATCACAGGAAAACCACTCTATACACTTACGTATGGTAAGACTGAGCTAGGTCACCTGCAAAGCACTTATCTTGATTGAAAGCAGATGCTGGGATTGGCAAGAAAGGTCTATGGGCTGATTGGTGTGTGATTGACAGGGAAACTGTGGAGTCGAAGTGTAAAGCTGGCCTACACTCTCCTCAACAAGCTGGGAGCCAAAAATGAGCAGATCCTCAAACCAGGAGACCGGGTACAAAAACCAACAACTCTTTGTCATTTAAGATCATTTCCTGATAATATAACTCAGTTAGAGGTGTTTATGACAAGTTTGTGCACATAAACCAGTTTTATTGTAGTATTATTAGTATGCTTTTATAATATTTATAAAACAATTTAGCTTTTATTTTTATATTTTGAGTTTTCATTTTAATTTTAGCCTAGGTTTTAACAATTTTATCTGCTTGAGTTGTGTTTTTTTTCTCCCTATTTAGCTTTATTTTTTTCAGTTTCATTTTAGTAATTTTAATTTTTTCCTTAACCATGTCCCTTTAGGGGCTCTGTATTAAAGCAACATTTCTAGTTAATTTCTATTAATTTCTAGTTGATTTCTATGAAATACGTTTTTTTTATTCCTGCCTTATTTCAATTAAGAAAATGTAACAATAACAACACTGATATCAACACTCATTTACTTCACATTGCTATAAGTAATATTCTGTATTGTATATTGTTAGAAGCAACTTTTATTTTAGAAAAATGCTGCTGTTTCACTTTAATTATTTGCAAGTAATGTTTTATTATTGACCCAGGTGGCGCTGGTGTATCCTAACAGTGACCCTGGTATGTTCTGGGTCGCATTTTATGGCTGTTTGTTGGCAGAAGTCATTCCTGTGCCCATAGAGGTTCCACTATCCCGAAAGGTAGCCACTACAGCTAAATGGAGTGCTAACAATTCACATTGCTATTGTTGTCAAAATGTTTTCCATGTGTTTACAGGATGCGGGTAGCAGCCAAGTAGGTTTTTTGTTAGGTAGCTGTGGGGTGGGTCTGGCTTTGACAAGTGAGATCTGTTTGAAGGGTTTACCCAAGACCCCCACTGGAGAAATATTACAGTTTAAAGGTCAGAGACTTCACACATGCAAATTACATCCATTTCTTTTCAAAAGCCAGTCAGTAATGAGAAATTTATGGTGGATCTAATACTAGTTGGGTTTCTGACAGGCTGGCCCAGGTTAAAGTGGGTGGTGACAGACTCCAAATACCTCACGAAGCCTTCGAAAGACTGGCAGCCTCATATCCCAACAGCCAACACAGACACGGCATACATAGAGGTAAGATCATGTGCTTCATGTGATTCTGTGTGTGTATGTTTGTTAAATACATGTAAATCTCCTCCTCTCTTTCTCTCATGCAGTATAAGGCCAGTAAGGAGGGCACAGTGATGGGTGTTGCGGTTTCAAAAGTTGCCATGTTAACACATTGCCAGTCACTCACTCAGGCCTGTAACTACTGTGAGGGTGAGTGATGCTGTTGCTGTGGAAACACCATCCTTTTGTTGCAGTTACACTAAACCAAAGAACTAGCTATGCAGGTTTTCACACTGCTTGTTTGGAGATGTAACGGAATGCGTCTGCACGCAGGTGAGACACTGGTGAATGTTTTGGACTTTAAGAAGGACATGGGTTTGTGGCATGGAGTTCTCACGGTGAGTGACAAAATGTGTACGTGTCATCAATGCTATTACTACAGATTTATTAAGATCAGTGCATCAAATATTACAATGATTAGGGATGCACCGATATGAAAATTTTGGCCAATAACCGATAATTCTTTATATTTGTAAGCCAATAACCAATATATTGGACGATGAGTCTTTATATAATTTTTGAGAGGCTGATTACAAAAACAAGTCTCACCATTAAAATCCATGTCCCAAGCACACAATTATATTGATGTGCTCATTATAATGTTATGTAGCCTATATGACAGACTTGGGCTGCACATGTTGCACTTAACTGTATTTTCCTTTTTTGAAGTGATTCTAATCATATTTCAAGCAATTCAAAACCATCATGGTGAACAGTGTGCATCTGAAGTGTCTCAGCTAAAATATAATATACCGGTATTAATATATCGAACAAATTTTTTTTATTAAGCCAGTAACAACTGAACATATATCAGCCGATATCGATATGGTGGCCGATATATCGTGCATCCTTAACAATGATGTGTACTTTTGTATTATTTGCAATATAAATATAAATAATATAGATAGTTTTTTTAGTAATGATAATGAGGTTACTGAGAATTGTAAGAGGGTATGTGCTTTATTGTATGGTCCTAAAATAGGCTCACTTCTTTTTAATTTCTTTTTTTTTTTTTTTTTTTTTTGGGGTAAAAATGTACCTGGGCAGTTTTCACCCAATAACATCTGTGTGTGTTTCAGAGTGTGATGAACCGAATCCACACCATCAGTGTTCCATATGCAGTAATGAAGGCCTGTCCACTGTCCTGGGTTCAGAGAGTTCACATACACAAAGGTACAAGACCAAATATATGTCTGTCGTCTACACACATTTGTTTGGATGTGATAAACGTCTGTGTTTCTACAGCACGTATTGCCTTGGTGAAGTGTCGTGACCTGCATTGGGCGATGATGGCTCACCGAGATCAGAGAGACACCAGTCTGGCCTCCTTGCGCATGCTAATTGTTGCTGATGGAGCCAATCCTTGTGAGTTACGCTAACAGGCCTCCTGCAGAGACTTCACGGGAGATGATGTTCATTTAATATTTATATTTAACGATTTCACTTTTTTTTGTCTCTCTGTATCTCTTTCTGGCTCAGGGTCGGTTTCATCATGTGATGCATTTTTGAACGTATTCCAGGCTTATGGTTTGAAACCAGAGGTCATCTGCCCGTGTGCTACATCACCTGAGGCCATGACGGTTGCCATTCGCAGGTATATCACTTTTAGACGATCCCATTTTAAATGAAATATATTAGTATTTGTTCCCTGATTGTGTGAACTTTCTCCAGGCCTGGTGTCCCCGGTGCACCTCTTCCAGCGAGAGCCATCCTGTCCATGACTGGGCTGAGTCATGGGGTCATCAGGGTCAACACTGAAGACAAGAACTCTGCTCTCACCGTCCAGGATGTGGGACATGTCATGCCTGGAGGTGTGTGTGTGTGTGTGTGTTGAATTTTTTGTGTGTTATTCATGTCTACACTTAGAAAAAAGAATCATGATATTACCTTGGGTGTGTATAGACTATGGTAATACTATGGTATTGTCACTCACAGAGACAAATCCAGTTCATAATACCATGCTATCAAAGTTTAAAATATGTTATTGTCATATGTGCATGCCTGAAGTCAGCATGTGTGTTTATGTGTGCTTTAGCATTGATGTGCATTGTGAAACCGGATGGGCCGCCCATGCTGTGTAAGACGGATGAGATCGGGGAGATCGTTGTGAACTCTCGTGCTGGTGGAACCATGTACTACGGCCTGTCCGGAGTCACTAAAAACACCTTTGAGGTATGGCGATCAACTTAACACTCTCTTACACAGACGATGATAAAACTTTGTACTGAATTACACACCATAAACATATTTTTATGGTATCTCACAGGTGATCCCAGTCAACGCTAGTGGTGCTCCTATTGGTGAAATCCCATTTGTGCGGTCGGGATTGCTGGGTTTTGTTGGACCGGTAAGAGTGTGAAAGTGAAAAACAAGAGAGGGACAGTGTAATTTTTTATGTGTTAAAATCAGGGCTTTCAAGGTTAACATGCGATTAACCTGATTTCACCTCTGCGTTTGCAATCAGATCATTTTAAGTCGCTGAACTCTGCAAACGTTTTAAGTCCAATAATCCAGTAAGCAAATTTATTCAAACAATCAGTCCAAAACAGCACTAATGTAAAGAAAACCGAGACAGCAGAGATGGCAGAGAGAATAGAGACTCACGTTGCGTTTTCAGTGAATTATTCATTCCAGTGTGTGTTTTGCTTTAAAACACCGAGCTCTGTCATATTCTGTCATTGTTTCTGAAGAGCGCGATCCCAAACGCATCGTGCTGTGTGAAACACAGACTGAACGGAACAACAAAACATCCCACTGCTGTTTGGCCAGATGATACGCAAACTATGTTTCTATGCTGGATAAAGCAAACCAGCTAGTAATGTTTTGATGGATGAGGATTGCAATCAAGGTAAAGATGATTGCGGTGACATACAGGAGTCATACTTTAAGCACGCGCGAGTCTGTTATATTGATGCTCAAACATGTGATCCTGTTCGGTATCGCAACTTGACTTGTCTAAAATGTAAACAATATTTTTGCTGTTGCATTGTCCACAAACTATACACAGTGAATTCTAAAAAAATTCTTTAAAGGTGACCTATAATTCAAAATTGAATTTACCTTGGTATAGTCAAATAACAAGAGTTCAGTGCATGGACATGACATAGAGTGAATCTCAAACTGGACTGTTTTCGCGTTCTCATTTAATTCACGTTTATGAAAAACACCCCTTAAAAAACGGTCGGTTCTCCACACAATACCGACTGTGACGCAATAGTCGGGATCATTAATATGTACGCCTCTAAATATTTGCATAATGCCAGCCCTCAATGCCAGGCGGAACTGCGCAGCCGAAGCATAGCAGTTGCTCAGTGTGGATGTACACATGAACACAAAAGTATTTTTTAGTTCCTTCATCTGAGCCTCTGAAGAAACAATGGGTTAATTTTATTTTCTCTGGAAATTTCCAAACATTTCACCGACTGTTTCCTCAACTTGGGCCAATACAGAGCTGGCCTCGGATCGAGCTACCAAGCAACACTTTCTGATGTGTAATTATTCAAGTTCAGACAGGTAATCTTTCTCTCAAAATCGTTCAATACTGTTTATGCATCAGTAAGTCAAGCCAGTGACTAAAATATCAGCTTCACATCGTTTCTTTTAGTAGGATGAAAATAATCGTATTTAAATTGTGAACAAATTATATACAGAAAGCGATCAAAGAACAATCTTTCCACGCGAGTTTATCTGGACACTTGCCAAACTCGTTATGAAATCAATGACGCACGTTACTGCACAACGAAGCTCTTACTGTATTTACATCATCGTGTTTGCATTGGTGAAAGCCTTAGAGAGAGTGCAGAAACTGCTTTGCAATGATAAGATCTTCATTCTCGCGATCAACACACTGTCATCTGCTCAATGCTCATCACGGCAACATTTTATGTGATGGGAATAGATCTAAATACTTTAAAAACATCTCACGATTCGTTAATCTCGATAGCTGTTATAGTAAAAACGTATAATAGCAGTTGTAAAAGTATTCGGGAGAGAGTTTCACATGTAATGCGTAGCTATTTCATATGCAAGCATGTCAGCCAATCACAGCAGTGGCCGCGGTTACACTGAATCCCACAGCAGACACGCCCCTTCAAACAGAGTGTTCAAATCAGAGGCTAAAAGCAGGGTAGGAAAAATGCCATTTATTTCTAAATTATGATTATTTTTTATCTAAAAAACATACTAACATTATAAGGGTAACCCAGGAAACATTATAAAATAATAAAAAAAAACATTCTAGGGCACCTTTAATGTTTTTTTCATGTTCAAAAATTAAAGTGTTAAACAAGATGAATGGTCTATTCTTAATTTCACGGTTTTTATGATTTTTTTTTATTTTTATCTATTGACAGCCCTAGGTAAAATCTATTTTTTCATCTCTCCTCCTCCCGCAGGGTAGTCTGATATTTGTGGTGGGTAAGAATGAGGGCTTGCTAATGGTTAGTGGTCGTCGTCACAATGCTGACGATCTAGTAGCGACAGCACTAGCGGTGGAACCAGTCAAAACTGTGTACAGAGGCAGGTGAGGGTTCCCCTTTGAATACACTGAGCGACATTTAGTCTTAACCTTTGTTTTTAATGAGAATAGATCTTAATCTGATGTGTGGGTGTGTGTTTTGTAGAATTGCTGTGTTCTCAGTGACTGTGTTCTATGATGAGAGGATAGTAATCGTAGCTGAGCAAAGGCCTGATGCCAGTGAAGAAGACAGCTTCCAGTGGATGAGTCGGGTTCTGCAGGTACAGACATATTTAATGCAGTAATTATAAAATAGACTGTTTTATACTTTAAAATCTGATCGGATGTACCATCTTAAAGCTCTGGTACATTAGCCAATATATGAAGACCTCCGATGCAAAAGCCTCTAAAAGGCACCTATGTCAAAAATGAGATAATAATATTGAGTGAATGCTCTCCGCACATAGTATAAGTTCATCAAATACTTTCACTTCAAACTCACTAAATCCCAGCCTCAGCCAATTCAGAAATGTCGGTACCTAAAGTAGAAACCTATAGATAGGAACCTGATAAAAATGTTAATATTAAAGAAAAACGTTAGACGAACTTAGAGGCTTTTGCATTTGAAGTCTTCATATACACACCTGTGACTGTACTGCCAATATTTGCTATTGACTTTACCATGTTGTGGAAAATTCAGTGTTGAGTGGCTTATTGCTTATATACAACATTTATTTCATTGTTTAGTTTAACACACAAAAGTTTGATAATGCTTTATGCATGCTTTATTTATTTGTTGGTGGTTTTGTGTATTGTTTACCGACTACAGGCAATTGACAGTATTCATCAGGTTGGATTATACTGTCTTGCACTGGTTCCTGCTAACACCCTGCCCAAAACTCCCCTGGGGGGCATTCACATCTCAGACACCAAGCAACTCTTCCTAGAGGGGGCGCTGCACCCCTGCAACATCCTCATGTGCCCCCACACCTGCGTTACCAACATGCCCAAACCACGTCAAAAACAACCAGGTGTGTATGCAGGGATTAAATGGAGATCTTGGAGGTGAGAGAACCTTCAAATCTGGAGGTAAAATAAATCTGATGGGTGTAAAAATTTTCTCACAGTGTTCTGTCCTGTTATGTCTTTCATAGTCGGTGTCGGCCCTGCATCCATCATGGTGGGTAATTTGGTTGCTGGGAAAAGAATTGCGCAGGCTGCAGGCAGAGATCTGGGACTCATAGAAGACCAAGACCTGGTCAGGAAGGTAAACTCAGATTTTGCATTGTATTGTGAGGCCGTATAGCAGGAAATAAATAATGCAGACAGATTATTTTAAGATGTTTATTTGAAATGTACTGTGTGGTATTTTAATGCTTTCGTGTGGATGCAGCTGTGTATGTGGCCTACAATGATGGTAAGCACTGTGATCATTATGGCACAATCACATGCCACAGGCATGATATTCATTTTAATGTATTACTAATGTTATATGTTTGAAGTTATTGTTGATGAACTGTCTGTCTTGCCTTTTTTTAGCATCAGTTCCTTACAGAGGCTTTACAGTGGAGAGCACAAACAGATCCTGACCATACGCTTTATGTACTTTTAAATGCCAAGGTAAAAAAACACTCATACATTCCAAACAAATAGTGGAAGGACTATTTGTAAAAGTCCCCAGTAAACCCCCTTACTGAGAATTTCTGATTTGCTGGCCGATAATGTGTTTTTTCTCTCTCCCTCTCTCTCTCTCTAGGGAGTGGCAGTGTGTACAGCTACATGTGTTCAGCTTCATAAAAGAGCAGAGAAGATTGCTGCTGCTCTCATTGAGAGAAGTGGTATTAACATTGGAGAGAATGTGGTGCTTTTGTATCCACCAGGTAAATCACACACACTATGTCATTTGTTAAGACTGTTATTTAAGAACTGGACAGTTAAAAACTGTATAGGAGTGAACAGCAAAGTCATTGGTATTTAACACCAGAGTGAGTAAATGAGGATTTAACTTTCATGGATGGGCTATCCCTTTAAAGGAAAAGCAGCAAAAAACAGTGTTGTTATTGTTATTACAATTTTATTAAACTATTAATGCTATTATTATTATTTTTTCAGTAATTGAAATGAAGCTGAAATGAATTCATTGAATTTTTCAATAAATTGGAAAAAACGTTACCGTAAAAAAAAAAACTAAAATGAAATAAAAATTTAAAATGTTGCCATGGCAAATAACTGAGATGAATAAGTTTTAGCTGAAGTACTAAAATTACTAATAGTAAACCTGAAACAAAAAATTTAAGCTAAATGGAAAGATAAAAACAAACAAAATACAAAAGTATAAAAGTATAAAAAGAAAACTAAAAATATATCAATAGAAGCAAAATATGAATCAATATTATAATAGTATATACATATATATATATATATATATACAGAATATTGTGTGTGTGTGTGTGTGTGTATAATAGAGAGAAAATGAGCATAAATACTTATTTATTACTGTTTTGGCATAAAAAAATACATTTGGTTAAAAGAAATTGGATTGCATATGAATTGTCTGTATGTGCAGGTATAGATCTGATCGCTGCATTTTATGGCTGTTTGTACGCTGGTTGTATTCCTGTCACCGTGAGGCCTCCACACCCACAGAACCTCTCAGCAACTCTGCCCACTGTCCGCATGATTATCGATGTAAGTCTGTGTGTTGCATCTGTTAGACATGTTTATTTGGGTGTGTTTTCCTTTAACTGCTTGGTAGCATTGTTAACTTTTGTTGCATCTCTCTCCTGGTTTCCTCAGGTCAGCAAGGCTGCTTGCATTCTCACTACTCAGGTTTTAACAAAGATTCTCAGATCTAAAGAAGCAGCCGCTACAGTCAACATAAAAACATGGCCCATCATAATAGACACAGGTAACATACAACAGTCAATTTAGCTCATATAGCTACTGTGCAGATTGCAGAACATACTGTACTTTGTTCATATAATAATAGGTTAAAGTCATCTGTAACATATATATTGGATCAGGGTTTGCTCTTTCATTGAAACAACTTTTAGTTTTGTGTAACAGTTTGTCCAACAACAGACTTACCACCACAGTAGTCACTTTAAGCACTAACAATTCTCAATGTTACATAAAATAACATAACATGTAAACTTTTTATCCGGTCTCACGCAAAGCATCCAAGGAAAATATCTGGCTTGATTTGTCATGACAGAAATGTTTAAAAAAATATATAATCCTATGACAACAAACTCACAAGAAATCTTATCATTAGAGACTGGTAACAACTATCATGAACAAATCAAATATGTTTTGATAAATTATTATTAGAAATATCAACAAATCAGCATTATAACTTTGCAGAGCTATTGGTCTGTATGAAAATGTCAAATGTCTAATAATATTTTCATTACGTTTATAAGCACTACAATCTCTGAACAAATGACACGCATCAGTTTAACAGAAAGAATGAAGGCTTAGTTACTTTTTTGTCAATTCTTCTTTGAATTTTCGGTCTATGTCGTTGTCTTCTGTGTATCAGATTAATCGCATTCATAATCAGACATACCGCTGTATCAGTGTCCTTATTTGCACATGGAAGATGTAAGGCCCGCACAATCGGCCCATCAGCGGTTTCCAATAGAGCGGGTAATTGATACCTGCATGTTCCTTCTTTTCAGTGTGGCAAAGTAATTTAATTCCAATTTACTTTTATCTGACTCTTATTTTATCGTGACCTCGAATTTAGGTTGGAATGGCAATTGTTTATTGGTCACTTATATGATACTTTATCGAGACATTTGATTATTCAATTTAACTCTTTACTTTATATTTTACCCATTCATTAGGAATCTCTGTTGCACAGAGAGACTTGCGCCGGGCGTTTAACGTGGGTCACATGATCACAAACTCGTCAGTCTTGGTCAATAGACAGAGGTAATTGACTATAATTTTTAGAAGGCCGCCTTCACGCTTGCTCTATCTAAAAGTATTTTGTTTAGTCCCCATAGATCAAATAAAACATTATGATTTTTATATAATCTTTCTATGTGAACTGAGTGAAGAGAAGGCACAAATGTGAAGGAAGGACAGGATGGAAAGAAGCTTTCTCTCAACTTCACTCTGTGGGGTGTGAAGACAAATGGCTGTATGTGTTTGTGTTGTCCATATCTCAGGAGATCAAAGTATCTGAGGTTCTGTTTATTTTACAAAAACATAAAATATGTGCGCATACACGTTGCTGGTTCATGTTTGGGTCACTAGAGTATATGAAATTTGTCTATAAAAACTTGAAACATTCTTACTCCAGTCCGGATTTGAAATGTGATCTGCATTGCGAGTGTTGATGAACTCATTGTGTCGTTCCATGCAGAAACCGCACTGTTGTTACATATTAAATGTAGTTACAGTCATATTTTCCATGTGTTTGTAGTCAAACTTCAGCTCTGGCCGCATCGTGGGGAAAATGCAAACACTTTGTAGTTACTGTACTAAGGAAACATACACATACAACACATGTCTAAAGGACAACAACGGGCAGAGGTGAACAAACAGCGCTGAAACGGTCTTTTGTGACATTTGAATTCTCCACTGTAATGCGATCTCATGCATAATACAGCGCCGTGATTAGATTAAAAGAGTTCATTCTCATGTATAATGCAGAGAAAAGCTCAGAAACTGATGACTCTCCAGCCATGGCAGCCAATTAACACAAATACCTCACATTTCTTGACATTGGTTCAACTTTGCTTTTTAAACCGAAATAATGAAATGACTCCCCAAAAAAATAATAATTCCCCTTAATAATAAACACAAGTGCTACAGTACATGCAACCTGTACATATCTGTTAAAATCTCAAAACATACTTTATGGTTTCATGACCCTTTAAATGAAGTTTACAGTGTACTGCATGAGACTTCAGAAACAGCAGGAAAAGGAATAAAAATATTTTTTTTATTTATTCAAACTTCACATTGTTTGCGAGCTTAGAAATATATTCGTATGTGCAAGTTTAACATTCATTTCTCTTATTTTTCCCCAGATGACTTGGCTCGCAAACGACCTCCCACAATCTACAAACCGCCCAATGCTGAGATGATCGCCTATCTGGACTTCAGCGTCTCAACCACAGGCATGCTGACAGGAGTGAAGGTGAGACATCTCAATGGACGTGTTTCGTCACTGTTTCAGGCAGTTTTGGTGACATTTAATTCTGGGGTCATTGAATATCTGATCAGAGGTGTTTTAGGATTTTGTTAATGTATAGTGCTGTCCAAAAGTCTGAGACATCTAGTGAAAATGCTGTTTTTTAAATCAGATTTTGGTTTAAATCAGACTTCTTGATTTTCAGTGTTGTCTTCGATGTTTTGGAATCCCATTGTAGCAAATACCTCCCTCTGACATAAAACAATGTTAGTTGATCTGTACATTTGAGACTCCCCTCTCTGATTGGCTGTCTATCAGATCTCTCACGCGGCGGTGAGTGCTCTGTGCCGCTCTATAAAGCTACAGTGTGAGCTGTACTCCTCTCGCCAGATCGCCATCTGCCTCGACCCCTACTGTGGACTTGGTTTTGTGCTCTGGTGCCTTGCGAGGTAACGGATGGATACACACAAACAGTCACATACAATGAAATGTCTCATACTAACATAGAAAGACTCACAGCTTTGCCATCTCACGCTATGGCTTGTTCCCTTCATAGTCGATATGAATGTGTTTTGAAGGTATTATAAACCTAACATGTGGTTGTGTTCTGCAGTGTATACTCAGGTCATCAGTCTATCCTGATACCTCCTATGGAGCTGGAGAGCTCACTGCCCCTGTGGCTGGGCACGCTCAGTCAGTACCGCATCAGAGACACCTTCTGCTCCTATTCTGTCATGGAGCTCTGCACCAAAGGCCTGGGCGGACAGACGGAGATGCTGAAGGTATATATTAGCACACTTAAAAGTCGGCATAAAATGAAAGTTGTGTTAGTGTTTTCTTCCCTATTGTGAAACGTCTTCACGTACAAGAAAAAATGTTGGATGGGGCTTCATTTTGTCCTTTGGAAATTGACTGAATCGTTGTGGTTTGCTATTGCTGTGATCTCATGCGAGTGACAGGTTGTACCGCCGCCCTCGGGTCAGGAAGCACATCATCAGAGAAGAGATGTCACTACAAGAGGGGAAGAGGGAGGGGAAGTTATTTTGAATAAAGATTATGCACATGAATTTAAAAGAAAAATCATTTATAATAAATAATCCAATATTCCTTAAAAAAAAAAAGAATTATCAATTTTGATTTCATTGATAGTTCACCCTAAAATAAGAATTGTCTTCATTTACTCACCCTCATGTCATTCCAAACCTGTATGACTTACTTTCTTCTACAAAGCACAAAAGACAATATTTTGATGAATTTTTTTTTGTCCATTCAATGAAAGTCACTGGACCCCACTGTTTCATTGTAAAGACAAAAAAAAAATCATACAGGTTTAAAAGGACATTACAATTTTTTTAAATTTTGGTAAACTAACCCATTAAGCTTTTTGGCATCAAAATCAATGCATCAAAGTGTGGGAAATATTAGAGTCTGCCTCTAAAACAAGTTTGCATATGAAGCAAAACACATGCTGGTCATTCACATCTCTGCTAATTTTTTCCACTATCACGAATACAACATTAGCTTGTCTTATTTTTTTTAAATCTTCACATGTTCTTCTGATGTTCTTCGTGTCCATCTGACTTCAGGCACGTGGTGTGAACCTGTCGTGTGTGAGGAGCTGTGTGGTGATTGCTGAGGAGCGTCCGCGCTTGGCTCTCACACACTCCTTCTCCAAACTGTTCAAAGACCTTGGACTCTCCATGCGGGCTGTCAGCACTGCTTTTGGGTCGAGAGTTAACCTGGCCATCTGCCTACAGGTAGATTACCTGAAGTTCGAACTTTGCAAGTTGCTTTTCCTCTGCAATACGTGTGTCAGACCTGCTGTTTCAGTTATTTGAGGTGCAGCTGATCTGTATGTGTGTGTGGGTTTGTGTTTTTCACAGGGTACAACTGGACCAGACCCCTCAACTGTGTATGTGGACATGAAGTCCCTCCGACATGACCGGTAAGAGAAACACAAATATATTTACACATAAAACACATAAGGTTTAAATACTAAAAGGCGAAGTGTGTTTTTTTTGTGTGAAAGTGTCAGTTTCTGGCTCAGCCAATTGTAATTGCATTTGGTGGCATTAGTAGAGCAGAAATCACATGGTTTTAAATACTGTAGAATTATATCTATTAAGATCCTGGGTTTTGTCAAAAATGAAAAAAGCTCCAGATCTGCTGCTTCCTCTCGACTCTGTGATTATATTGTGTCATAAACACTCTTTCTTCTTGTATAACACTGATGATGGCGTTTCTGTGTTTTAGGGTGAGGTTAGTAGAGCGAGGAGCGCCACAGTCTCTTCCTCTCATGGAGTCTGGAACAGTAAGTGCATTTCACTGTTGGATCTAGAATGAATGTAAAAAAAAATAGGGAGTTTGAACATTGTTAATGCTTTCATTCTTCTTCTCTCTCTCTTTTAGATTCTTCCTGGTGTGAGGGTGATCATAGTAAATCCAGAAACTAGAGGACCGCTAGGGGACTCTCATCTAGGAGAGGTGCGTTTACATATAATATATGTAAATAATAATTGGTTGTTTCTTCAGATTTGTGCATTTTTAGAAAATAAACTACCTTAAAACACATTTTCAAACTCTTAATAAATTATTTTATTTGTATACTAACAATCACAGGAGAGTTATTTATGGGTTTTTTTTTTTTTTTTTTTAATCATGTAATTTAAACGAATTTTTATGGAGAAAATTACACTTTAAACATTTTTACGCAAATTTTAAAGCTAGCATTATCTATCCCAAATACACAATTAAAGGTTCTCTAAGCGATGTCGGGTGACATCACTTCTTGTTGACGTTTAAAGTATTGTCAAACAAAACGGAGGCAAGCTAGACCCTCCCTCCTCCTCATCCGCGCACTAACCCCCCAAACCCCGCCCCCAAGTCCTTCTTGTCGGTGATTGGCTGGAACTGTTTGTCATGTTTCGTGGAGCGGGTTAGCCCAGTTTGTTTTTGTTGCTGTTTGTGGAGCCTGGGCTGTCTACAGAGATCACGTTTCTTTACAGTGTGTTCAGCGGACAGGCAGCCAGCGGTTAGTGAGGAGATGTTTGCTGTATGTGACAAAAAATGTTTTGGCCTAAAAAACGCGTGACATCGCTTAGACTTAGAGCACCTTTAAATAATATTTTTTACACTTTGCATAACTTGACAAAATTACAGCTTGATTGGAAATGACACAAGATAGGTGATACCTTGATTGTTTTTCTCTGTTCATACATCAGGTCTCATATTTCATCTCAAGTATGCCTTTCAGACCGTTGTTTGTTTCCATGATGATAAACAAGTGATAGAAATAGATAGAGGGGCAAAATAGATTCCTAAGCTTCAACAGTAATATACTTCACTCTTTCCCAGATTTGGGTGAACAGTCCCCACAATGCAACAGGATACTACACAATATACGGAGAGGAAAACCTGCAGGCTGACCACTTCAACACTAAACTGAGCTTTGGAGATCCTCAAACACTCTGGGCCAAAACTGGATACCTGGGATTTGTCAAGAGAACAGAACTCACAGACTCCAGTGGAGGTGAGAGAGAGAGAGAGAAACACAATTGGATGAATTAAGAATTAAGGATGAAGTGCTCATGAAAGACTGGTGGGGGCAATGTACTGTGGGATGCAAAGCAAACGTCTTAGACCAGATTGTAAATTTTGATTGTAAAACTAAAAACTTTGATTGTTACCAGATTGTAAAACTAAAAAAAAATGTTAAACCCAAAAAATTAAAATTATGATGTAAAATGAATTAATATACGTTTAGATTCTAGGTCACTAATCAAATTTAAGGAAATTGTGACATTGACCATTTAAAAAAAAAAAAAATTTAGTTAAAGTTTTAAATATATTGTTATGTGATAATGTCATTTATAATTACACACACACACACACATATATATATATATATATATACATATTCATTCATTCTGTATATATACATGTATATATTAATTTTTTTATTATTATTAAATAAGACATTGCAACTAGTGGTCTCAGACTTCTCACAATAAGATATACATAAATTATGAGACTATGCAATGCATTGTTATGCCACACTAAATTAATGTTCTTGTAAAAATGTCCATGTTTGTAACATTTTGTGTTTAGATCGCCATGACGCCCTGTTTGTGGTGGGCTCTCTGGATGAGACTTTAGAATTGAGAGGTTTGCGATATCATCCAATTGACATCGAGACCAGCGTATCACGTGCCCACCGCAGCATCGGTGAAAGGTAACATCTCAGAGACACACTCTTTGCTTAATTTTTTTCTTGCAATCATCCTAGCCTTTAACTCTTACGTGCTCTTTTTTCCCTCTGCAGTGCTGTGTTCACCTGGACAAATCTGCTGGTGGTGGTGGCTGAACTCTGCGGATCAGAGCAGGACGCTTTAGACCTGGTCCCGCTGGTAACCAATGTAGTATTAGAGGAGCACCATCTGATTGTGGGTGTGGTGGTTATTGTTGACCCAGGGGTCATTCCTATAAACTCCAGAGGAGAAAAGCAGCGAATGCACTTGAGAGACTCCTTCCTGGCAGATCAGTTGGACCCCATATACGTAGCGTACAACATGTGAGCTGGGATATGGGCGAGCCAAAGGCCTGCCAGAGCGGTGCTACGGAGCCTGGCCTCAGAACTTGGATTGAGTTCATAAACGGAAAGACTTGGCCCTGTTTTTTCAGGGATAAGGTGTCATTTTCCACAATACAAATGTGTGAGATGAAGTTTTGGAGAAGGGATGCTATAATAGAATTTCCCTTTTAGTTCAATTCCTTCTCCCCCAGAATCCCACTCTCACACAATGCCACATAATGTCTGCCCAATTCTTGGTCATGATTTAAATTTACTTGAATTACATAGCTCTTTTTTCTTCTCAAACACTCTCCTATTCTAGCACTGGCTGGCGTGTACTTTTTTATTTATTTATTAAAATGAGCTTAAAGCCTCAGTTTTTAAGTTTTCACCTGGGTTGTTCGATTTCAGAATTTTTTTATTCTGTTTCCAAAGTTTTTGCGAATCAATGGAATCGATTCCAGGAGTCAATTACTCAGACTAAATGTTAAGTGAAAAAAGGGAGATAAATTGAAATCTTAAAATAAACAGTGCAATATAAACTATAATGATTCATAAAAGGAATGATAGGAGCTCATGATGAATGGATGGACGGACTACAAAAGATCAGTGGAGTAATTAAGTAGGTTTAGCAATATAAATTCTGTATTTTGAATTAGTGTTGTTAAGACTCTTTTGGGTTGTGTAGTAGTGTGGTAATCAAGGTAATGAACACAGACTTAGCAGACTAGGGCATCACAACCCTGAATCCCAAAAGTTAAAATTATGTATATTTATATATATATATATATATATATATATATATATATACAGGACTGCAACCCAGCTTATCTATGGTGCTGTGTGTTACAGGGCTCTAAAATGTAATATTTATTGGACAGCATTGGGTAATAGGGGTCTTTTGTCATTCATCAGATGCTTGTGTCCAAATCAGCTTACATTATACTTAATACAGAGACAGTCCCTCAAGAGCAACCTGGGGTTAAGTGCCTTTCTTAATAAGGGCAGTATTGATGATAGGACATTTCTGTAACGCTACAGTTCATAGAATGCCCTTACCCAGGTTAAAACCCACTCCTTCATCCACCATTATTTTCGTTAACACACACAAATGTATTACTGAGACTGCAGTTGTCAGCTCATTTAGCTCTGACAGCAAACCATTTAGTATTCTAAATCTTACCACTGGGGCTTTAACAAAGTTTATTTCAGATATGCAGCTATTCAGGTTTTAATTCTACAATATTTACAAAATACAATATACAGTTTTACTTCTACTCGAAAAAAAAAAACTGCAATGTAATATTTTAAAAATGTTTTCGCCATTTTTCTACCCATATTCAACAGGTTGTTGTTTAGGATTGTCCACAAACATTATTTTAATAATTAATTTGTTATTATCAATTGAATAACTGAATTGAGATGTGTTCTAAACCATGGGCTATTTAAATGCTTCATCTATCTATCTATCTATCTGGCAAAAATTTGTTCAATGAATTACTCAAAGTGAAATCTTCATTCCCTCAGCCCCCTCAAGTTCAGCATTAGGATAATCATCCTTATTGTTTTTCATTATCCTTTATGCACTTTATTAGATAAATGCAGATATATTCTGTAATATGGACTATTCATTTCTTTCAATAAGGGCATATGTGTGGTTTTTATTATATAATTACTTGCATTATTGAGTAGCATATGAAAGTGCAGGCACATAAAAACACATTTTTTGGAACTAAATGCCCAGTCTAACCTCAATACCTGCATTTACAAATTGTTCTCAGTTTACTTCTCCACATACATGTATAACAGTAAGAAGAACACATATACACTTAGTATGGATTCATTCAAAAACATTCAACTGCAAACCTCATCACACACCAAGCCCAAACCAAACACAAACTGAGATATGTATAGCTCTATTTTTGCTCTCATCTAAAGGTGCTTATACACATCAGGATTAGCCATTTAAATCTCTAAATGGCAAAAAAAAAAGAGAGAAACAAAATTCAGGCATCTGTACAATAAAATAAAACAACTGTAAAATAACACGACTCTGTACAAGCAAACCCCTCGTGAACACCTAACTGTACAAATGCATAGATTTTACATGTTTGGCAAAGGATCTTCTGTACTATAACCATTTTTACGAGGAATGACTATCTTCTTGTAAACCATAAATAACTGTAAATAATTGCTTGTGTACAGATGAGAAATTCTACTGTACTGTAAGTTAGTTGCTGTATTCTGTCAATTTTTTGGATTCATGTGAATATTAACTACTGTCACTGATATCCCTTCGTAGCTGAGCGGGGGTCTGAAGTTGAAGACTGGTTGTAAATAGCTTGCTCTGTTTTTGTTTGTTCTTTTCTGGTTGATCAGAAATGTGATGGGTTGAAGTCTGTACTCAGATTTGTCTGTCATGCATTTCTATTTAGAATTCAGATTCAGAAATCTTACGGTATGTACAAGTTTTAATGATGTAAGCATGATAAAGTCGAGCACTGTGAGGGCTTGAAAGACTACTTTCAGAGTCCTTACACAAACTGATCACTACAGTATGTTAGCCTAACCTCATTCTGTACGATGGGGTTGAGTATGTGTGCGTATGTATGGTCACACCATTGAAAGGTCATTGGTTTGTTGCTGAGTTCCACAATACCCGTTCCCAAATCAGAGACACTGTCATGAAGTTTATTATCTCATTCTCACTGTTGTGAAGGGCATCAGAGCTGAGTTTATGTGATGAAAGCACAAGCGAGCGAATTAGCTTTTTACATGGGGCATTCAGGGAAATAGTGCTTTCCAGGATGGAGAGGATATTCATTTATAAATATTCACTTTCATGTTTGCAATGATTTTTGTTCTTTAAATAAAAAGAATTTATTTGTCATTTGCGTTAACCACGTCTTAATATATACAAAAACAAAACAGAAAATAAGACATAATCGGTTCAGTTTATTGATAATCTGACATGCCAGCTAAGTGCTGGAACCAAAAGAAATGTTTCACGCACTACTGAACCAGCTGCAGTTACATTTTAAACAAAACAAATTATTTGTTTGCATTGTATGGAATAAAATTGGAACATGGAAAAAAAAATTGTGTTTAGGCAATACATATTACTCTTCTGTGTTAAAAACATTCTGTTCTGTTAATTTCTCCTAATATTAATAAGAAGAATGTGATATTTCACATTCATGGAAATAAATGAAAGTCATGATTATCCAAGCAAGCATTTCCCTGTTGGTTCACATCTTTCTTTTTTGTACATTGGTTACTGTAACTGTTTTTTACTCCAATGAAAAACACAAAAAATAATAAAGCCTTTTATTTTGCATCTCTGAAATTTGATTTTTTTTATATTAACTTTATAACTTTTTCTGTCTGTCTGTCTTGTCTATCTATCTATCTATCTATCTATCTATCTATCTATCTATCTATCTATCTATCTATCTATCTATCTATCTATCTATCTATCTATCTATCTATCTATCTATATATATATATCTATATATATATATATATATATATATATATATATATATATATATATATATATATATATATATATCATTGTAAAGATTCCAAAAAGGCGTACTCCAAAATATAACTTCTTTTCACCAGAAATTGAGTCGCAGCGCATATAGTAAAAATAAGTTACATTTTGGAAAACGCTTTTATTTTTCTTTGTGAATATAGGTTTTTTTGCCATGCATAATAGAAAAATGCACTACATAGTAGGCCGATAATTGCATTGGTTTCATTCATGTTCCCAGACCCTTTTTGCGTTTCAGTGATATTGGCCAATCACAAAGCTTAACACAGATTTACGTAACACGTCCTTCTAGGGGGAGGCGCTTATTGCGGCCTTTAGAAAAAAAAAAACCTCAAGCCATCTAGATTTTTCAATGGAAACCGCCCAGGTTTATTCTATGCATTATTAAATAATTACTTTTCAAATTATACTTCGAATATTGGCATCTATATAGACGGCGTCGTTGTTTCCAGGAGCGGCTCAAACGGAAAAAAGGTAAAGCGTTGCTTTTGTTTTGTACTCTTTCTCTTCTGCCGACCTGTCGCTGCAGTCATGGCGCCCGTCCGCTCGGTTGTAGCACTCGTCTTACGGGAAGGTGTTTTAATGGCTCCCCGTATCGCTGACGTCTGTTGACGCGGGCACTTGCGTGCCAGTGACTAGCTTGGAACTTTCTGCAGAGCGCGGCATTAAGTCGCCCACAGGCTTCACACAACACACCGCAGCGGTTTGTGTAATTTAGAGATGTGCATTTGATCAGGATCTCGTGGGGGAATAAGACTGAAAGTCTCTGACACTCGTGCAACATTTGCAACTTAAAAATCTATCAATCTCCTGTGATGGAGATTTTGTGTAGTAGAAACAAACCCGCTTATAAATACCAGCGGAATCTTATATATTTTGACAGATAAGTTATGAAATGACATCATAGACATCTGTCTAATTTTATCTAGCATGTTAGCTGTTCTAGCCTCAGATTGTTTGTTTTAAATGCGGACTTTTAATGGAAAATATTATCGAAAATACGGAATCCACAGGTCAGTATATATCACACGGTTATTTTAGCTTAATTAAAATAGAAATTAACCAGATATTGTTAGTTTTTTTGGAGGAATGTGAGTATTTGATGGGCGTTATTTAGCATCCGGTTCTGTATAAAGTGCTGTTAATAACAACACAACAAAGCATCTGATTTACTGCTAACGTTACAGCAACAGCAGTGTCTTCCATGTTAAAAAGCTTATTCTGTTTTTTTCTCCATTACATTGCAATTTTGTGATTTTATTTCTGATTTATTGTACTGCTTACATGAGTTTACTGGAATCAAATCATACATGAGAACACTTACAGCATGGTTGCAGCAATAATGCGTAGAAAGCAACCCACAAGGACAGTGTAAGTGTGTGTGTGGTGGAGCTAAAGGTTTGAGAGGGACTGACTCAGGGCTGGGGTAAAATGGAAACACTGACTAAATCAAGGCTTTTTACTGGTAGCCACAACACACACACACACACACGCACACACACACACACACACACACACACATGGGCCATCCGTTTAAACATATGAGAACAGATAAAAGCCAGTATTCTTCAGCATTCTCATGTTTGTCTGTAAAATAATACATCAAAAAGTAATTGGGCTCAGCAGTTTTTTTTGTCCCATAGTTCAGATTTCTGTTTGTCCTGAAAAGATAAATAAATAATATTATATTTTAATTTATATGTATCATTTTAAATGTAACTTTTTTTAATTACAATTTTGTTTTAATCATCTCATTTTAAATGTAAATTCTGTAACATTTTTAAACTTTTTTTATTAATTTAATTTTTCTTTCCTTTTTTAATTTAAATTTAT